GGGCATGGGGTGCTGCCCGGGCCCGGGAACCCAGCCGGCACACGCCCCCCCACCCCCCAGGAGCCTGGCTGGACCTCCGGCCGGCTTGTTGGCGCCCCCTGCAGGCCTCCCAGCTCAAGGAAGCCAGTGGCCGGGCTCAGAATTTGGGGGTGGGACATGTGGGTGGGTAGAGCTGGGGCCAGGGACTGGGGGCCATGAGGAGCCAGGGCCAATTTGCACGCTCGTCCCCAACAGCCTCTTCCAGCCCAGCTGCCCCTCACTGCCCGCTCCCGAGTGGCCGGCGGCCTGCTGGGCCCGCCCTCCGGGACGCCCTGCCCAGGGACATGGGGAGCTTTCGGGGCACCCCGGCACCCCCACCCCGCAGAGATGGCAGCCCCTGGCACGGAGGGCCTGGCTGAGGGGCAGCGGGAGGGGCCAGCGGGCACTCGGCCCCAGAGGGACCCGCTCCGAGGGTGGCGATGGCAGCGAGGCCCACACCGGGCGTCCCCCCCGGGCGGAGGCCTCGGAGCGCGGCTCCGGGAGCAGACGGGCATGGCGGCCTCACGGCGGCCACCATCACGGTGGCTCCGTCAGCGCCTGCCGCTGAGACAAACATCACGGCCGCGGGCCCTGTCCCTCCGTCCTGCGGCCGGTGGCGGTCAGGTCCGTTTCGGGGAGGGCCGCTCGCTGGCCGCGGCCTGTCACCGTCCTCTGCTCACCAGGGCCCCGAGCCCATCACGGCCCACCCTCGGCCTCATCTAACGCACTCCCTCCCCGCCCTCCCAGCAGCGGGCCGGGGCCTCCACACACGGATTGGGGGCGCAGAAACGCAATCACGGCTGACGGAGTCAGGGCCCCGAGCCCCGAGTTCTTGCCCCCAGGGGCCGGGAAGGGCCTCCTGGGACAGCGCGGCTCCCCTCGGGCTCCCGCGCCCGTCCCGGCGGAGGCCATGAGCCAGGCGTCGAGGCGCAGGAAGCGCGGGGGCGGGAGGCCAGGCCTGATTGCCGGCTCGGTCGTGTTTACCTGGGAGGCGGCGCCAGCCCCCCCGCCCCCCGCCTCGCCGGGCCGGCGGCTCCAGGATAAACACCATCGGCGCACAAGGCCCCTTTGTCCGGAGCGGCTCCCGCCGGGACGCTGCCCCCCAGCCTGCGGCCAGCCACCCGCGTGGCCTTCTCCGGGCCCAGGCCTGGCGGCTCAGGGCCCGGGACAGGGCCCCGGGCAGTTCCCGTGGCGGGGCCTCCACAGCAGCCCTGGCTCTGCAGCCGGAGGGGCGGCCGGCGGCCACGCGGCCCCCTGCCCTCGGCCAGGGGCCGGCTCCTGCAGCTCTGAGAGGGCAGCTGTGAGCCCCCCAGCCCCTCCCCATCCCCCTCCCCACCACAGTCACTGTCCCCGCGCCCTGGTTCCCTCGCTGGGGAGGGGCCTGGACGCCCTGAAGGCCCCCCAGCATCTCAGCTCCATCACTGTCTGAGGGTGGGTGAGGCCTGGGTCCCTGTGCAGAGGGGTGGGTGAGGTTTGGGGTCCCTGTGCAGAGGGGTGGGTGAGGTTTGGGGTCCCTGTGCAGAGGGGTGGGTGAGGTTTGGGGTCCCTGTGCAGAGGGGTGGGTGAGGTTTGGGGTTCCTTTGCAGAGGAGGGGTGGGTGAGGTTTGGGGTCCCTGTGCAGAGGAGGGGTGGGTGAGGTTTGGGGTCCTGGGCAGAGGGGGTGGGTGAGGTTTGGGGTCCCTGTGCAGAGGAGGGGTGGGTGAGGTTTGGGGTCCCTGTGCAGAGGGGGTGGGTGAGGTTTGGGGTCCCTGTGCAGAGGAGGGGTGGGTGAGGTTTGGGGTCCCTGGGCAAAGGGGGTGGGTGAGGTTTGGGGTCCCTGTGCAGAGGGGGTGGGTGAGGTCTGGGTCCCTGTGCAGAGGGGGTGGGTGAGCTCTGGGTCCCTGTGCAGAGGGGTGGGTGAGGTTTGGGGTCCCTGTGCAGAGGGGGTGGGTGAGGTTTGGGGTCCCTGTGCAGAGGAGGGGTGGGTGAGGTTTGGGGTCCTGGGCAGAGGGGGTGGGTGAGGTTTGGGGTCCCTGTGCAGAGGGGGTGGGTGAGCTCTGGGTCCCTGTGCAGAGGGGGTGGGTGAGCTCTGGGTCCCTGTGCAGAGGGGGTGGGTGAGCTCTGGGTCCCTGTGCACAGGGGGTGGGTGAGGTTTGGGGTCCCTGTGCAGAGGGGGTGGGTGAGGTTTGGGGTCCCTGTGCAGAGGAGGGGTGGGTGAGGTTTGGGGTCCCTGTGCAGAGGGGGTGGGTGAGATTTGGGGTCCCTGTGCAGAGGGGGTGGGTGAGGTTTGGGGTCCCTGTGCAGAGGGGGTGGGTGAGGTTTGGGGTCCCTGTACAGAGGAGGGGTGGGTAGGTTTGGGGTCCCTGTGCAGAGGGGGTGGGTGAGATTTGGGGTCCCTGTGCAGAGGAGGGGGTGGGTTGGGGGGTACTTGTCCAGGCGCCTATGGGAGGGGTGCCAGGGGTGTGTGGGGCTGGGAACAGGGCCCAGAGCCCAGCTTTGAGTAGCAGGACTTTCGGGGGGTCCTGGCCTGGCTTGGAGGGCCCCCTGCCCCCGTCACCCTGGGGTTCGGTCAGGTTGAAGACACAAGCCCTGACCTCACACCTGCTCTTGGGGTGCCTCTCACACCAGCCCCTCAGCACAGAACGGGACAGCAGCCGGGGGTCAGCGTGGCAGCCCGGCAGCCGGCCTGGAGGGGGCGCTCTGCGTGGGAGGAGCACGTGCTCGGGGCACCCCCCCTGGGGCGGCCACAGCGGTGGGTCTGGGGGTGTCAGGGAAGCCTCCTGAGAAGCGGCTGTCAGAGGTGACAGCTTCGGGCCTGCCGGCCGGCCCCGCCAAGGGCTCGGCAGGCACAGACCTGGGCTGGGAGCACTGCAGGCTGGGCCTTGGCCACAGGAGGGCCGTGTGGCTGTTCATACAAGGACCTCCGGCCCTGGCTCAGTGGGCAGAGCCCGGCCTGTGGACCGAAGAGTCTTGGGTTCAGTTCTGGTCAGGGCACAGGCCTGGGCAGCCGGCCTGACCCCTAGATCCCCAGTGGGGGGCGTGCAGGAGGCAGCCGATCCGTGATTCATCATTGGTGCTTCCATCTCCCCTCTCCCTTCCTCTCTGACACAAAGGCACCTCCTGTGCCTAGCGTGGAGCAGGAGGCCAGAGGGGCCTGAGCTGTGCGGGGCGGAGAGGGCAGGCTGCGCGCAGGGGCCGTGGGGAGCAGGGGCAGGGTGGCCTGGGTCCCTGTACCAGACACCCTCCCCATGCCCTCCACCTGCAGGGTCCTGACGGCCCTGGCCAGCCAGAGCCCCAAGTGCAGGCCCCCAGCCGGGATGGCACCTCCAGGCCCTGACCCTGCACGTTGGCCCACAGCTGGCAGCGCCCCCTGGTGGCACCGCCGCTGCCCACACTAGGCCAGTCACAGCCAGGCGCTGGGGCTCACAGCGGGTCTGTGCAGGGACCCCGTCCACGCTGACGCGGGAGGACACCACCTCTTCGCCGGCTCCCCCGGGCCTGAGTGTGGGCACCGCCCTGCACTGGGCGTTCCTGGAACCAGCAGCGCCCATTCCCCTGCAAGCGGTCACAGACCTGGGCCTGCCGTGCCCACTGGTCAGCACTCAGGAGCCCGTGCCTCCAGCTGGCTCTGGGCCCAGGGCCACGTCTCAGTCGGTGCCGAGTGTCCAGCCAGCTGTGCCACCCGTGTGCAGGGACCGGGCGGTGGTGCCCTGCGGGCCCAGCCTCTGCCCTGGGCTGCCCCTCTGCCAGGGCCTCTCCTGCCCGCAGTGCACCCTCCGGCCCCGCCCTCACCCGGCCAGGGAGGGCGGGAGGGACCCATCCTGCCCGCAGTGCACCCTCCGGCCCCGCCCCTCACCCGGCCCGGGCGGGAGGGAGGGACCCAGGGCCTCTCCTGCCCGCAGTGCACCCTCCGGCCCCGCCCCTCACCCGGCCAGGGAGGGCGGGAGGGACCCATCCTGCCCGCAGTGCACCCTCCGGCCCCGCCCCTCACCCGGCCAGGGAGGGCGGGAGGGACCCATCCTGCCCGCAGTGCACCCTCCGGCCCCGCCCCTCACCCGGCCAGGGAGGGCGGGAGGGACCCATCCTGCCCGCAGTGCACCCTCCGGCCCCGCCCTCACCCGGCCAGGGAGGGCGGGAGGGACCCATCCTGCCCGCAGTGCACCCTCCAGCCCCGCCCCTCACCCGGCCCGGGCGGGGCCCAGGGTCAGCGAACTGACAGGCTCCCTGGAGCAGGCCTGGGAGGCAGCCACGGCCCTGGAACCAGGTGTCCAGACATTCCTACGCCCTGAGCCATGGCCAGGAGCTGGAGCTCTGCTCCGGCGGGGGCGCCCGGAGAGCCCTCAGCTGCTGGAGCGACCCCGAGCCCCAGCGGGCAGGCCTGGCTGGGCAGGCGGGGCCAGCGGAGAGCCTGAGGCCTGGGGCACAGACCGCTTCCTTGGGGCATTCCCCTGTGGGCCCACGGGGCTGGACGAGGCCATGGAGCAGCCAGGACGATGCGGTGCTCCTGTCCATCAGCCAGATGCCAACCTCAGCCCCTCGGTGAGGGCTCCTTCCCAGGGCCCAGCGACACAGGCCACCACCCTCTTGCCCGTTTGTTTTTACATTAAAATTGCAGTGGCCCCAGCCAGTGTGGTTCAGTGGATAGAGCATCAGCCTGCAGACTGAAGGGTCCCAGATTCAATTCTGATTAGGGCACATGACTGGGTTGCAGGCTTGAACCCCAGCAGGGGGCGTGCAGGAGATAGCTGATCCATGATTCTCTCACATCATTAATGTTTCTCTCTCTCTCTCTCCCTTCCTCTCTGAAAAAATAAAAATAAAAAAAATAAATGACAATAACATCAGCTTCGGTCCACTGGACTTGGGCCTGTGGTTGGGAAGCAGACCCAGTAGACGGCGTGCCCGCTGGCAGCCCTGCAGTGCGGGCAGAGAGGCCGAAGCACAGTGGGCCATGGAGGATCTGGCCAAAGCTGGGAGCTTGGCTTTAATCCAGACAGAGCAACTTCAGTGCAAAACTCACATTTTATTTAGTCTCGTTTCTAAAGTGATCAGTTTAAAGACGAGCTGAGGTGAGGAGAGGAGAAGGAACATGAAACCTAACAGACAGACAGACAGACAGACAGGAGGGCGGGCGGCAGGGCGGTCCCACGTCAGATCTTCTCCATCTTGGAAATGAGGTCGTCGCAGATTCTGGTCAGCTCGTCGTTCTCTTTCGTCTGAAAAGGGCGTCCACCCCCGTCTCCCAGTGCTCGGGGTGGCAGCAGGCCCGGGGGCACCCGGCCGGGCACGGAGAGGCATTTGGAGGAGGGTTGTGGCCCAGCTGGGGAGCCCGCAGGCCACAGGCCGCGACATGGCAGGTCCCAAACCTCGGGAGGCTCCCTCCCGCTCCCGGCCTCAGGCCGCACCCACCTTCTGCTCCACCGCCTTCTCCAGCGACTGGACCCGCATCTGCTCCTTCCGCAGGCTCGCCTGGAAGGCCAGCGCCTCCGCCTGGGCCTTGCTCCGCACCTGGGCGATCTCCTCGCTGGCCCTGCACAGGGGAGTGCTCAGCTCCCCTTCCTCCTCCTCCTCTTCCTCCCCCCGCTCCCCACTGCCCAGGCGCCTGCTCACAGCCGGAGCTTCTCCTCCGCATGGGCCTTCAGAGCCTGGTACCGCTGGCCTTCCTTCTGGACCCTGGCGATGTAGTCCTCCACACACTTCTTCAGCGACTCTTCGTTCTTTAAGGGGAGGGGCGTTACCGGCCGCTGGCTGCTCTGGGTCGGGTGTGCGAGGCCCGGCCAGCAGCTCGGACGAGGAAGGCCGCGGACGCAGCACTTGCTTTTCTTTTGGAAAAGGCCCTCCACGCCCAGCTCAGGTCTCCCCTCCCCGGACACCAGCCTGACCCGGCCCCAATGGCCGTCAGTGCCTCCTGGGCCCCGAGCTCCCTCCCCGCAGCCCTGACTCCCGCACGTGCCCAGCTGGGGGCGCTGAGGGGGCAGTGCGGGCTCCCCGGTGCCCACGGGTGAGGCCGGCCGCCCAGCCCAGTGCAGAGCTAGGCTTCGCCAGGTGCCGCGTTCGAGGGACCAGGACTCGGTGGGGAGGGCGGCTCCCGCCGGGGGGCTGGGACTGGGCATGACAAGGTGTCAGGGCAGAGCCCTACCGTCCGGTAGCCCTCGAGCGCCTCCTTCTGCTTCTCAAACCGCTTGAAGAGGTCGGAGAAGGACTTCTCCATGGAGCTCAGGTCTGTGCTCAGCTGGTCTTTCTCTTTCTGAACCTTCTGCATCTCGGCTTTGGCGAGGTCCTGCTGTTTCCGAGCCTCCTCTTGAGAAGGGACAGGCACAGGGCAGGGCGGCGTCAGCCGCAGCACCCAGGCCCCACCTGCCTGCTCTCCCAGACCTCAGCACTTCCCAACACCAGGCCGGAACCCCCGGGACGGACGGGGTCCCAGGGCCCCAATCAGAGCCCGCGGTGACCCGCCCCCCAGCTGGCGCCTCTGGAGCCCGAGTCCCTGGCCGGGGAGAGGCAGGACACCGAGCTGATGCCCAGAGGGTGAGGCTGGACACACCGGGGACGGCTGCCCCTGTGGTCCCAGCCGCGGGTCTGGGTTCCGGCCGTTTGGGAACTGAGCACCAGCCCACAGCCTGACCCCAGCGGCTCCCGCACTGGCCTGGCTGACCTACGCTGGGGCTGTGGCTCCGCGGCAGGAGCTGCTGTAGGAGAAGGGCTCGGGCCACACTTACCCATCGCCTGGTACATGAAGCTCTCGTACCCATCCATGACCTTCCTGTGGGAAGAGATGTGTGAGCGCCGTGGCGCCCAACCCCCTCGCCAGCCCCGCAGGCCCCCCCGCCTCCCCAGGCCCCGGCAGGCGCCACCCCCCCGCCCCCTGGCAGGCCTCACCCCATCTCCAGGCAGCCGCTTCCCCCCGCAGGCCTCACCCCATCCCCAGGCACACTCCCCCCCCCCCACAGGCCCCCCCCCCATCCCCAGGCCCCCGCAGGCCCCACCCCATCCCCAGGCCCCCGCAGGCCCCACCCCCTCCCCAGGCACACTCCCCCCCCCTCCCCCCGCAGGCCTCACCCCATCTCCAGGTTTTTCTGGTGCAGCTCCTCACACTGGCTCCGCAGCTGCAGGACCTCCTTCTGTGCTGCCTCTACCTACACAGAAGCATGAGCATCAGTTGGCCAGCAGGTGCCCGCATCTGGGGTGTGAGCCCATCAAGCTCCCCTCTGTGGGGGGTCCCATGCTTGTGTGTGGGGTGTGGCCTACAGGCCAGGCTGGGAAGCAGCTTGGGAGGGGAGAGGTGGTGGCAGAGAGAACACCACACCGGAGGCAGCTCAGGGCAGGGCAGGGGCCGTGGGCAATGAGGCCAGGGCAAGGCAGGCACAGCCGGCTGAGTAAGTGGACACCTGGGGTCCCACCCCACAGCACCCCCGCCCCAGGCCCCGCTCTCACCGCCGCATCCAGGTCCCTCTGGCTGTACTGCAGCACGTCCACAAGGGGGCCCGAGGGCCTGAGCACGTCCAGAGGTGGGGCCACCTGCGGGGCGACAGAGGCCAGCTGGGCCCCAGCTCCTCTCCCATCCAGCCCCGTCCTGTGGTCAGGGAGGACAGGTCCTGGGGGCAGGAGGCTCCAGGACTGCAGTGACCAGAGACAAACAGGAGCCCCCCGCCCACTGACCGCTGACCCTTCAGATCCCCGACCATAAAGCCCGTCCCTACAGGACAAGGGGAACAGCACTCACAGGCAGGCCCGGCCCGGCCGGGAAGTCCAGGTCCACCAGCGGGCCCTGGGGTGGGCCCCCGCAGGAAGGCGCCTCGGCACCCGGCGCACTGAAAGCAGAGGCACACGCGGGTCAGACCTGCCGGTGCCTTCCAAACGCACTATTGGGGCACCCCCTCCTGCAGCCGAGGGCACAGCTCAGCCTGGTGCTCCGAGCCTGGAGGTCTCTGAGCCCGTCCCCGGGGCCGGCCCACCTGCTGGTCGTGAGGGCCACGGGCGCAGGCCTCTCGGGGCTGTCCTTCAGGAGCGGGTCGAACTTGAGATACAGGGACTGCTTCCTCAGGGCCGACTCCTTAAACTGAAACGGGGGCGTCAGCTGGGTCCCCTCATCCTGACCGACAGCAGCCCCCAGGCGAGGCGACCAAAGGCCCGAGTGCTCACTGCACCGCCTCCCAGGGCTCCGGGACCGGGATGGGGCTGTGCGGGGACCACAGGACGTGGCTAAGGAAAGCAGCTGCAGGAGAGGCCCAGACAGCCCGACGCCCAGCCCGAAGCATCGCCCGGGTGCCCAGTGTGACAGCTGCGCTAGGAAAGTCCCCGAGCCAGCCCCTTGAGCTCACCTGGGATGTCCCAAACTGCTCCAGGTAGTCCACGTCGACCCCCATGCCTAGAACTGAGGGAGCAGACAGTGTGGCCACTGCCGGCGCCCACACACGGCGGACTGTGCTTCCCCAACGAGCAAAGGCCGCCGGCACCTCACTGCAGGTGCCCAGAGCCCCATCACACTGCCCGCACCCGCTGTGCCTCCCCTCCCCCCACCAGGTTGTTCTGAGGGCCGTGCCGGGCACCCCAGGGGTGACAACCAAAGGTCCCGGGGCTAAACGAGAACCACTGTTGACACCACCCGGGCGAGCCTGAGTCTCTGATGACGGCCCTCCCCGCCCCCCCCCCCCCCCCCCCCCCGGCCCTGGGAGGAGCCGGTGCGGACCCCGGGGGCACGTTCGTGGAGCGGGAACTTCCACCCGTACGCATACCCCGTACGCACGCTCATGCAGCCGAAGGAACCACACAGAAGCCACCCCCTGGGGAGCGCATAGCGGGCTGCTGTCCACACGCCCGTCATCCACGGGCCACGCTGACCACACGCTTCGCGAGGAGCCGGACTTAGACCCACCCACGGGCTGTCCCTGGGAGCAGCAGCCTGCCCGGCGCCTCCCTGGTCCTGGCGACCTGCAGAGGGGCCCAGGAGCCAGAGGGCAACCTGGCCGGCAGCCTCATGTCTTTTAAAGCAACTCGGCCAGTGGGGTCTCGGTTCCAGCCGTTTCTCCAGTGCCCGAGGCCAGGGTCGGGCACTGTGACCGTCAGGCCGCCCGCACCCTGTGCTGTGCCCTCCGCGAGGGCCTTCGTAAAGGAACCTCCGGGGCGCCCGATAACCGGCTTCCGCCTGAGGCTGCGCGCAGTCAGAGCCCAGCTGCCTGCGGACGCCAGCAGAGGGAGGACCGGGCCACGCACCCTCCGCGGCGTCCTGGAAGTGCTCCTCCCGCAGGTCCCAGGCAGGCTCGGGCCCCTGCAGAGTGGGGGGCGCTGGGTCGGCGGCAGGGACTGGGGGCTCCGAGCTCGGCCGGCCGGGGGCAGCTGCTGGCTCCAGAGTGGCGGCTCCCTCCTGAGTGGAAGAGAGGTCACCGTTGGCTCGTTGGAGCGTCTCGAGAAGTCGAGGTCCCGGTGGGGCCTCGGCCTCACGGCCTCCTGGAGAAGAGGGTGTGGGTCGGTGGGCAGCGCTGTGTCCCACGGGTCACCACTGGCCTCCCTCTGGCTATTGGGGCATGGGAACACACACCGGGACTGCGGGAAGATGTGCTCGGCTCGGGCACGCTGCGTACCTCGCCCACCGGTCCCTCCATCCCCGCTGCGGACTGCGTCACAGGTGTGCCGTCTGCGGAGGCTGGAGGCATCTGCCTGAAGAGACGGGGTCACCAGGGCCCGCACCCCTCACCCCCGATCCTGCTCTGTGCACCCTCCTCACCCAGAAAGCCAGGTCCAGGGCTAAGATGGGGCTCGGCGATGCCCGCCACCCGCCCTCCCCTGAGGACCCGAGCCTCCAGGACTTGGAAGCAGGGGGGAGCCCTGAGGGCTTAACTCCATGGTGGGGGGCCGAGTCCTGCGTCCTTTTTACCAGGAAACCGGCCAAGAGGCTGGGGGCAGGAGGCGGCCTCACTGGGAAGGACCAGGACTGGGCAGTGGGGTGGTCAGGGCTGTGTGTGCAAGTGGGAGCACTGGGCCCGGCACAGCGCCTCTTATGACCCGGCACCGGGCAGCCCGCAGCGTGGGGACCCGCAGGCACAGCGACAGCCCTGGGCGCGTGGGGCTGGGGGGAGCTCACACGCGTGGCCCGCCCCGCCAGCTACCTCACGCCTGCCAAACAAGTGCACGTTGGTCCGGGTCCTCCACGGATCCCGGAGCCGCCACCGCCTCCTCTTACCTGCGGGGAGGGGAGTCCCCTGCGGCCCCAGACCCTGCCGGCCTGCCCTGGGGGCGTGCCGGGGCACAGGGCTCTCCACGGCCTCCGAAGGGGCTGAAGTCTGCGCCGTCCAGGCTGTGAGACCCCCGGGGACGGGGGGGAGCGGGCCCCTCTCCCGCCGCCTCAGGGGGCGCTTCCTGCCTCGCCGGCCTCCCCACTTTCCTCGGGGGGCGTGGCCTCTTGCTGGTGGCTCCGGCAGAAAAGTCGAACTCCAGCCTCACGGGCCCCTTGCCCGAAGAGCCGGCAGCTTGGCCACTGGTGTCCTCCTCCCGGGGACGTGGGGCCGGCGCCCCTCCAGCCTCCAGGGGGCCGGCCGGGGCCCCAGGCAGGTCCGTGGTGGGGTCTTCTCCGAGGGCCGCTTGGGGGTGAGCAGCAGGGGGTCCGTCTGAGCGCCCTCCTGTGGCTGTGGGAGGGTGCTCTGTTCCGCCTGGGGATGGGGCCCCGGGAGGGTCTTCTGGAGCTCCAGGGGGGGGTGCAGTGCTTTCCCCCAGGGAGTGAGAGCCACCGTCGTCCTCCAGGCCTGGCCCGGGGCCGCTGGACGTTCCTTGTGGAGACAGGGACTGGTTTTCAGGACTCGCGGGCGCCTGGGGACAGCCGGAGGGACCCGGGCGGGCCTGGGGTGCGGAGGCAGGCTGGCGGCCATGCTCGTCCTCAGAGGCTGGTCTCGTGTCCGCCGGAGGGCGGTGGGCGGCAGCCACTGCAGGTCTCTGTAGAGTTTCGTCGGTGGGTTTGGTGTCTATTTCCTTGGTGAACTGTTGGCTTTTAGAACAGACTCAGTCAACACAACTGAACTCGCTGGCTTTTTATGTAGGTTTATTACTTTTTTTAAATTTTTTTTTTTAAGGGCATGAAACAGCTCTGGCCACCAACAAAGGCATCAAGCTAGGATGAACTAAGGACTGTACATCTGCTTTGCCCCTGATGTAAGAGCAACACCACCCATCAGGTGTCTCCTTGCCCATTGCCAGGGGGTTTTGAGTAGGTTTTTGTCTATACTGAAAACGTCAGCTAACGACAGGAAAAGAAACGTTCTGTGAACCGTCCTCAGGCTGGCCTCCCACAGCATGTGCCCCATCGGCCACTCAGTGCCGGGCGCAGCATCTGACAGCCACTCCCTTCCTTCTTGGTGTTGCTATGAAAGAACAGTCTCTGAGTTGCTCTGACCTTTCAGTTAAATTTCAAAAAGAAAATGCAAAGTGACTTTGAAAAGTAGAAAGAAAACCTAGGGAGAGAAACAGATGCAGGTTCCAGAAGCTTCCACAGGGAACGGGAACAGGGCCCAAGGATACTTTGTGCAAGGGAGGTGAAGGTCTAGTGGGGACACTTTACTCAAATGCCTTTCTCTGTACCTCTGAAACTGCTTAAGAGAAGAAGCAAGTTCTAAACAGCAAAGGTCAGCAAAAGCCAGAATAAGGTGCCTGAGACCCCCTCACTCTGGAGCGGCCCAGGGGGGTCAGTTCAGCCAAATCCGGGAGCAGGGCCCCCAGCGGGGTCCTCCTGCTCAGACAGAGGCTCCGCCGACCACCAGCCACGCCAAACACCGAAGCCTGGGAGGCTGGGTGCGGCGCCTCCTGGTGAAAGGCGGGGGTTAAGCCCCAATTCCGTCGTGATCCAACTGGATCCAAGCTCAGCGCAGACGGAGAGCCCAGAGGACAGACGGCAAACACAGCTGCCTGGCCACGCCCACCCGACCGCACAGAGCGCACTTACTCCTCCCTGCGGGTCCAGCCTCCAGGGGAGCTCTCTGCTGCGATGGCGTCATCCAGGGCACAGCAGGCCTCGAGGTTGCTGCTCATGCTGGGGGTCAGGATCCTGTGTGTGTGTGGGTCCCGCAGTGGCGTCTGGAAGGTCACCTGTGGGGGAGGGAGCGCCGCTCAGCCCTCCGTCTCGGCCCCACCACGCCAGGCTGCTGCTTCCCGGAAAGCTGGCCCAGTGACGGGGCGGGCAGGGGGCGCGGCACCCACCTTCAGAGCCCTGGCCGTGCTCCTGGGCGGCACATTCTCCTTCTGTGAGGGCCGGAGCACGGGCGATCTTCCGCTGAGGTCGGGTGGTGCAAACAGGAAGTCGCAGCTGTCTGCGCGCCGGTCTGCGGTGACATTCTCGTCACTGGGGATCAGCAGACTCATGCTGGAGAGGCAGGAGTGATGTCACCGAGGGCTCCCCCTGCCCGGCACAGCCGTGGCCGGGCCTGGCCCTGCAGGGAGGGCGGTACCGTCCCCTGTCCACGGGGCTGGCGGCTACCGCTAGAAGGGCCTTCAGCAGCAGGGAGAGCCAGGTTCTGCCCGGACTCTGCGGTAGAAGGCAGGAGACACGGAGGGCTAGCCTGGGAGGAAATGGGGCAGAGCCCGGGCCCCACAGGAAACAGCAGGGAGGCGGGCTGCCAGGCCTTCCCAAGCTGAGCTTTCCGCCACTCCTCCCTCCCTCAGCCCCTGCGAAGGTCCCCAAGGAGACAACAGAGGAGCAGCGCTGGGCGGGGTGGCTGCAGGCAAGGCCACCGGGCTGGGCAGGGGCAGGGTGGGCCGGCAGGCCCCGCTCTGGGAAGCAGGGAAGATAAACCAGGGGGACTTGGGTGTCTGGCCTGGCAGCTGGGTGACACAGGGCAGGCCCTTCCCGGCCTGGGGAGGGCGGCACAGCGAACGGCCGCTGTGAGGCTCAGGCTCGGTGGCCCACGGACCCAGGTGTGGCCGCGGGTGCGGGTGGGGCCGGTGGGGGGGGGCGCTCCCGGCCGAGGGCGGCGGGGCGTCGGCAGGGGGCTGGCGGGGACGCGCCCCCGCAGGTAGCAGCGAGGGGTGGGGATGGATGGAGGCTGGACGAGGTCCCGGGGAGCCAGGGGGCTGTCGGACGGACGAACGGCCCGGGGGGACCACCGAAGAGCCGGGGAGGCAGGGGAGCCCCGAGGCCGGCGGAGGCTCCGGGGGGAGGGGCCTTGCGGGCAGCGGCCCTGGAGGAACCGCGGAGGGCGGCTCGCGTTAGGGGTGGACTCGGCCGGCGCTTCCCCTGCCGCCGGAGGGGCCGAGGCTGGAGCGGAGCCCGCCCCGCCGCCAGCAGCCGCCTTACCTGCCGGCCGCCGCGCAGAGCCGAGGACGGAACGGGAGGCGAACGGGAGGCGCCGGTCCCAGACTCGGTCCGCCCGCCGCCGATTCAAATACCGACGGTTGGTGCGTGCGGCCAATCAGCGCGCGGTCGGGGGAGGGCGCCCGAGCGCCAGCGGCCAATAGGAGGGCGCACCGCCCAGCCACGCCCTCAACGCGCTGCGGGTGTGCTTCCGGGGCGAGGGGCACGCTGGGCGGGCGGGTGCCGGAAGTCCTTGGAAGCTGAGCATGGGAGGGAGAAGGGCCGCTCGTGGACTGGCGGTGGCTGTGGGACCCCCCGCCCACCCGGGATCGCGGGCTCTGCTGCGGGCGCCGAAAGGCTAGGGCCTGAGGACTGCCCGCCGGGTCTCCGTTTCTCCAGCGGTAAAATGGGGCCAGGTGCAGCACCGCCTTCAGGCGGGGCTTGGAGTCGAACCCTCGCGAGAACTGGGGGCAGTTCACGGCTCCCGGCTGAGGGCGGGGCTTCGCGGTGACTCCATCTCCCAGAGTGCCTCTCGCCCGGCCGTGGTGGGACTGCATCTCCCAGAGCACCCCGCGCCGCTCGGCTCCTACGGGACCGGGACGCTCGGGCCTGCTCCGCGCCGAGGGGGCGGCTTCGCCACGGATCTAGGCGGCGGCGGCGGTGGCGTGATGGACAGCCCGGAGGTCACCTTCACGCTGGCCTATCTGGTGTTGGCCGTGTGCTTCGTGTTCACGCCCACCGAGTTCCACTCGGCCGGGCTCACGGTGCAGAACCTGCTGTCGGGCTGGCTGGGCAGCGAGGACGCCGCCTTCGTGCGCTACCATCAGCGCCGCACGGCCGCCACGCTGCTGTGCCACTCGCTGCTGCCGCTGGGTGAGGCCCGCTCCCCTCCCCTCCCAAGCTCCGGGGTCCCCGGGTGGCCGGGCCGCAGGGACACCTCCCTCCGAGGGGAGGGTTCTGGGATCTCCCGTTGCCTCGAGCGCCCGAGGCGGTGGGCCAACCGCCCGTGTGCTCCACGCTGGCGGCATCTGGGCGGTTGCAGGTGGCAGCAGGCGGGCTCCGAGCCCTGGGGAGGGGTGCTTGGCTCCGCTGGGGCGGATGGAGAACGGTCCTGTGGACGGCAGTTCCTGGGAGAGGAGCTCAAGTTAACGGATTCCAACGGAGGAACGCGGTGGCCTTAGCCCAGGCCTGGGAAAGTGGGTGTGGGAAGGGCAGGCGGAGATGGGTGACATCATGCGGGGGCGGGGGGTGATGTCACAGGTGCAGACTGGAAGGCATGTGGGTGGCCAGGACGTTCAGGTTCTGTCCTAGCTGGTCTCTGGGAGCGAGTCTGTCCGCGGATGGGTGGGGTCTGGCTGAAGAGTGGGGTAGAGGACCTCTGGACGGTAAGGGGCGGGCCCAGGGCTGGGACAGCAGCTGGCTGTGTCCACCACACCTGCAGGCTGTGGACACAGGGAGGGGCTTCAGCTCGCAGCAGCCGGAAGCAGCAGTCCTGGTGGGTGTGGGGAGCAGCCAGGAGGCCCAGGAGGCTGGGCTGAGTCGGAGTTGTAGCGGGGCTGTCTGTGGGAACCAGAACTTAGGGGACAGTGATCCCAGCAGGCCACACCTGGGGCAGGTAGTGGAGCCTGTGGTTTTTCCATCTTTCAGTTACAGTTGACTTACAATCTTACATTAGTTCCAAGTGTACAACCTGTAACTTACGAAGGACTTGCCCTGGGAGGCCGGCAGCCACCTGGCAGCGTGCCTCGTTAAACATTACGGCTTATATCCCCTGTGCTGTGCACTTCATACCCCCAATCTCCTCACCTTTTCACCCAAACCCTTCTCCCTCTTGGCAACTTTCAAAATGTTGGCGAAGCTTATCTTGTGGCCAGACACAGGGCTTTGTTTTTATTTTTTTCAATTATTTTTCAAAAGCTTTGAAACTTTATTGACATACTATCTATTGCAACACAACAGATTATGCTGAGATGTAGTGATTAGACCAACAGCCAACAGGTACTATTAATTTTGTAATCTCAAGCCACTCCACCCCTTCGCTGTCTACTCCATCCGTTTCACCCTGCGGACTGGCCCCAGGCTGACGTGCCTGTGCTGGGCACGGCTCCCACGTGGTGACGTGCCCCCGTCCTGGCTTCCTACCATATCTGGCACGAGAGGGTCCAGTGAGGGTGGGCCATGCTCCGATCTCCTCAGGAGTCAGGAGGCCCAGTGGGCAGCTCCGTGTTGGGTGACAACAGATCCATGTATTTATTTTTGCCTTTCTAGGTTTTGCTAGTTTTTTTCGTTACTCACACGTATAAAACTAAAGTGTCAAGTTAAAAATGCTTTCCTCTTGCCTGTGGTATCACTGCTGTGGGCAAGGGCTGAGCTGGGCGAGATGTGGAGGTGGGTAAGACCCTCCCCCCCCCCCCCCCCCGGCCTGGGGCACTGACCAGGGCAGAGGCCCAGGGCTGGAACGAGACAAGTGGCCCCTGGGGAGGTGCAGAGACAGCACTGTGACCCTCAGTGGGCCCCGCCAAGGGAGGATGCAGGCCTGGCAGGCCGACCTCTGCTGAGGCCACTCCCTCCTCTGCAGGCTACTACGTGGGCATGTGCTTCGCAGCCTCGGAGAAGCGGCTCTTCCTCCCGAGTCAGGCCCCACAGGCCTGGCAGCTCTTCCTGCTCCTGGCGGTGAGCCTGCCCGTCATCTCCTGGAGCCTGATCTACTACTGGTCCCGGGACCGGTGGGCCCGCCACCCGCTGGCCCGCACCCTGGCCCTCTATGCCCTCCCACAGTCGGGCTGGCAGGCTGTCGCCTCCTCTGTGGACACTGAGTTCCGGCGGATTGACAAGTTTGCCACCGGGGTCCCGGGTGCCCGTGTGATCGTGACAGACACGTGGGTGATGAAGGTGACCACGTACCGGGTGCACGTGGCCCAGCAGCAGGACGTGCACCTGACCGTGACGGAGTCGCAGCAGCACGACCTCTCGCCAGACTCGAACCTGCCCGTGCAGCTCCTCACCATCCGCGTGGCCAGTGTCGTTCCCGCGGTGCCGGCCTTCGACATCCGGTAGGTGGCGGCAGCAGGGCTAGTCCCTGAGGCCTGTGTCCAGCTGGCACCGGGTCTGGTCTTTGGGTCCTGGGAGGCGATGGGTGGGAGGGCCCTCAGTGTGACCCTGGCCCCGTTCCCCTTGTGTCCCCACAGAACCCCCCACGTCCTCTGTCCACGCTGTCCTCTGAGCTGCCTTCTCCCCTTCTCAGGAGCACACTGGATGTTGGGGTGGGGCAGGACCCCTGAGGCTTAGGCTGGAGCCGAGGTCCTCCCATGCTGTTGAGGCCGTGGCCAGCCTGCCGGGACCCTCCTCGGTCCTGAGCCTGCCAAGGGCCAGACTGCCTCAGCGCAGTCCTCCGTGTCCTGTGGGGGCAAGCAGGCGCCGGGGCTGTGGGCTCTGCTCAGGGCTGTCTTTGCTGCTCGTTTTCGTTGGCAGCTGGGCTGGGCCCAAGCCTCCCGCTCTGTGTGCTTGTGAGCACCCCGGTCACCCTCGGTGCAGCCTGGGCCTCCCTGATGCCTGTCCCAGGGTTCTGGCCAGACTGCCCTTTGGAGGGGTCTGTGTCCCGTGGCCTCCGCCCAGCAGCCCCCTCTCCGTGCAGGCTCAACTCCACAGAGTACGGCGAGCTGTGCGAGAAGCTCCGGGCGCCCATCCGCAGCGCAGCCCACGTGGTCATCCGCCAGAGCCTGGGCGACCTGTTCCTGGAGACGTTCGCCTCCCTGGTGGAGGTTAACCCGGCGTACTCGGTCCCTAGCAGCCAGGTGGGGCTGGGCCCCCATGGGCAGGTCCCTGCGGTGGGGGTGGGGGTGGGGAGCCCCACTGGGTGTCGCCGGGCTCCTGTGACTCCCTTGCACCCCCTGCAGGAGCTGGAGGCATGCATCGGCTGCATGCAGAGCCGTGCCAGTGTGAAGCTGGTGAAGACATGTCAGGAGGCGGCCGAGGGCGAGTGCCAGCAGTGCTACTGCCGCCCCATGTGGTGTCTCACCTGCATGGGCAAGTGGTTTGCCAGCCGCCAGGACCCGCAGCGCCCTGACACCTGGCTGGCCAGCCGTGTGCCCTGCCCCACCTGCCGGGCGCGCTTCTGCATCCTGGACGTGTGTGCCGTGCGCTGAGCTGGCCAGGCCAGGGCGAGGGCGGCCCTGGGCTGCTCCCCCAGCGTGGAGAACGAGGGCATGTTTAGAATTTCTCTGCTGAAGTTCGGGCAGGGCCGTGGGAGAGTCTGGGGGCTCCTCCATTTCCCACTCCTCTGGGTGCGGGTGGGTACCCGTCAGAGAGCACGGCATGGCCCTCCCGAGTCTCTGGGCCCCTGAGCTGTCTGGGAGACCTGGCGTGTCTGTCCCGGACGCCCCTCACCTGGGCCACGTGCCTTACCTTCATGGAGCACACCTGCCCCTTTTACACACCAGACCCAGGTTCCTCCCAACGGGCTGTGCTTGGTCCTCCGTGGAGCTGCGCTAGGACCTGGGCAGAGCCCGGCAGTGGAGGGGAGACCTGGCTGAGGCACCCCTGGGGCTGCCCCTGGAGGCCACGGCAAGGACCACTCCTGCCCACGGAGACCCTGGGCTTCCCATGAGGAGCTGGGCAAGGGCTGGCTGCTGTCACTTGTCCTAGCTGTGTGCTCCTGGGGCCACTCCTGGCCGGAGGGTCGTTACCTGTGTGCCTTCCGCTGCCCCCAAGAGCCCAGGGAAAAGCCACGCCTTAGATTCCTGGCGGGAGGCATGGAGCTGAAGACCAGGCACCCCAGTGACATCCTGCACCCACACAAGCTTGTCAGAACGCAGGCACAGGCCGGCCACGCCCCACAGCTCAGCAGGGGACGTGCCAGTGGTGAGGGCACTGAGGTGTCTGACAGTTCCTGGCGGGAGGACAAAGGCAGGGCCAGGACCCAGCTCTGGAGGCGTGGCTGTGGAGCCTCAGGCTTATACTGGTCATCTTAAGCAGGGTGCTGGGCCCGTTGGCCCACCTCACCCAGAGGACTGGGAGCAGAGTTTGTGGCCTCGGGGTGCTCAGCAGATGGAGGCTTTAGAGGAGGCAGCCTGGAACTCGGGATGCTGCCCAGGGAAGTGTTTACTACAAAAGACAAGTCTGTTGTAGCTATGTGATACAGTATTTAATAAAACATTAGCCTGAAGTTAAATGTGCTTTAAGTGAAATACTTCCCCCCTGATATTCAAGCTTTGGGAGCAGTTGGAGAGAAGCCATCTTAAAAATAGGTTTGTTCAGAATCGGGAAGAAAAGGGAGGCAGCTGCTGTAAGAGCCCTCTGATTTCCTAGCTGGGGGCGGGGTTCAGCCCATTTCCAGACCCTGGGGGAGCAGGCCCCGTGGTCCTGGGCCAACGTTCCGGCTGCAGGGGCTGTGGCAGTGTCCCGGCCCTGCAGGTCCAGGCCTCCAGCCTGCGCCTTCCCGTGTCCTGTGGGGTGGCTCAGGCGGGCCGAGCGCCATATTGCTGCTTTTACAGAGCGGTAGGTACAAGCCATTGAGCACAGGCCCCTGGCCGGCTGCCCGCTGGTTAGAGCCGCGGCCGGTGCGGGTGGAGGTGGGAGGGCACAGCAACTGATGGGTGCGTCAGGGGACAGACCGAGGTTCCGCCGCCCCCCTCCCTCCAAAACCAGGAAAAACATGAACACCAGAGAGGACTCCGGTTCCCTGCGGCCTGAACGTCCGCGTTCCTTCCGGGGCCTCCCACGCCCGGCCCCGCGGTGTGGGCGGGCTGGCGGGAGAGCGAGCCGGGCGGTCCCCGCGGGCGGTGGGCGGGCCTCCCAGCTCCCCAGGACCAGACCGACGGCGGAGGGAACGGCTGCGCCGCGGCCGCCGCTTCCGGATCCCGTTCCCGCCAGCGCGGAGGTGGGCGGCGCGCAGCCAATGGGGGGCGGCCCCGCCCGGGCGGGACCAATGGGAGGCGGCCCCGCCCAGGGGGGGCCAATGGGAGGGCCGAGCCTGGTCCTGCGCGCGCCGCGCCCGCGCCCCGCCCCCGTCCCCCCCGCGGAGGCGCGTCCAGCGGCGCCGGGGCCGCTCACCCGCGCGGGGGGCCGTTCCGGGCGCGCTCCTCGGCCCGGCGTCGCCCCGCCCGCGGCCCGCGGCGTCCGAGCGGCGTCGGGCGCCTCCCGCGGGCCGGGGCCGCCTGCGCGGCGCGCGCCCGGGCGGCTCCCCCCGCGGCGCGATGGTCTCGCCCGCCGGCGGGGCGGGAGGCGGGGCGCGCGGCGCATAAAGGCGGTTGGGGGCGGGGCGCGCCGTCGGTCTGCGCCGCGGGACGGGACGCGACAGGACGCTCCGGTCGCCCCGCGTCGCCATGGCCTGCAGCCCGCGAACCCCGCCGTCGTACCGGAGCCGCGGCGACCGCGACGCCAGGTGAGGCCGGGGGCGCGAGGCGAGGGTGCGGGCGGCGGAGTCGCGGCCCGGCCCGCCGCCCTGACGCCGCCTCTCCCCGCAGCCCGCCGCCCCCCGCGAGGTGGAGCCTGGGGCGCAAGCGCAGAGCCGACGGCCGGCAGCGGGCGGAGGACGCCGAGGGGCCCGCGAAGCCCGCGGACTGCCGCAGGCCCGACAGGTGGGCCCGGCGCGGGCGGGCGGGCGGGCGGGTGCGGGCCGCGGTCCGGGAGGGCCCGGCGGGCGGTGTCAGCCGCGGCGTGTTCCCGGCCAGACTCCGGGCAGCCGGCCAGTCACCCGGTGGCCCAGCCCCTCCGCCCGTCGGGGCCTCCTGTCCTCGATGGGAGCCCGGGCCGCGATGGGCCGGGGGGCGAGGCAGCGAGCTGAGCAGCGCCCCCGCCCGGGAGGCCGGGGTGACGGGTGAGCCTGGAGGTGGTCGTCCCTGTGGAGGCCCCGGGGCGCATTGGCCGGGACGGGGCTCAGGGCGGGACTCCCGCCTCCTGCTGGTGAGTGGCGAGCGGAGACGCACCGAGGCCCGCTCGCTCTCAGGGCTGAAGCCTCAGGTCTTGGCCGGGACGGAGGGGGTGGGACGCCGGGCCTGGGGCGGCTTGGACGTCCGGGGTGCGCGGGGAGCTGCGGGAAGAATGGGGTCTGAGTGCGCGAGGCCGGGCGGCAGCACAGGCGGAGGACAGGGGCCCCGCTCGGCGGGAGAGGCAGGCTGTCCCCACGGTGCCCTCTAGCTCCCCCTCCAGGCCTCCGCTGCGCACAGCTCCTCCAGCCGGTGGGCACCTGGTGCGGAGGTGGTCCCTTAGGGGCGCTGCCCAGTGGGCAGCACAGGCTTTGGTTCCTCCGGGGCACTTCCCCCGAAGGTGCTCTGGTCCTGGGATGGCAGGAGGCTGACCGGAACCTGCGCAGCAGGAGGGCCTGCGAGCTCCCTCAGCATCAGGAACTGCTGTGGCCGGAGCCAGGCCGCCAGCGCTTGGTGTCCTGTCTGTGGCTCAGCCACTCGTTCAGCTTAACTTTTGGCTCATTAACCTGACTCCCCGCGCTGCCGACCATTTTTAGACTCTGTAAAGTACCGTCCGGAACCCAGCTTGGTAAGGTGAAGGGATAACCATTTGTTACTGCGATCCAAAGCCTGTCATCGGCTGGCACCTAGAACACACAAGAGTGCCTGTTGCTGAGCCTGGTTTTGACCCACCAATAGGAAACTGGGAGGGAGTGTAAGGACGTCACTTTGCATCTAATCTGTGAAGACCAGCCACTCTAGCCGCCGGCACTCATGGCACCAAGCCTGTGGCTCCATATTGCCTGATCCGGACTACGGGTTTCCTTGAGTCCTCGGTAGCGCTGAGCTCCCAGACCCCGCTCTGGGGTGCCCTCCATAGACGCTCCAGTGTCTGCCCCCCTTTCCGTTGTGGCGTAGGTGCGCCATTCATCATGGGCACGGAAAAGTGAACGGGAGCCAGTGCACTGAGGAGCCGTGTGCGGCCGCTCTGCTCAGCACTCAGTGTGTTTGAACAAACAGTTTGGTTTGCAAATAAAAGAAAGAGTCGTATTGGGCACCTTTCTTGTGCTGATGGGTCCTTGCTGACCTTGTCTGCCTGCTGCCCCCACCCCGTTAGCTCCAGCAGCACTGAGCACACAGTACCCTGTCCTCGGAGCTGGCCGGGCCGGGGCGAGTGCATTTCGGGCAGATTCCCAGGGGCCCTTCCCTTGGGGCTCCGTGGACCCTGGCCGCCTCCTGTGCCCGTTGGGAAGGAAGGAAAGGAAAGGGCCGCGGTTCAAACGTGCACGTCCGTCTTCCTGCAGCTTCACCACCCCCGAGGCCCCGAAGCCCCGGCCGCGGTGTGCGGACTGGGCGAGCGCCGTGGAGGAGGATGAGATGAGGACCCGGATGAACAAAGAGATCGCAAGGTACGTGCTCCGCCCGGCGGCGCCTCCTGTGGGACGTGTTAAAGGCAGGGCTGCCGGCAGGGACTCCGGGTGGGGCCCCGGTGACTGCTCCCTGAGAGGTGAGGCCCTTTGGCAGTGGCTGGCCTGGCCCCCCGACCTCTCTGACTGCAGAGGGCAGTGCCCCACTGCCCGCCAGCCCCAGGCAGAGGGCGCCCTTGGCTGACGCCAGGCTCGGGTAACAGCTGTGAATGGCCAGAGCCTTGGGGGGGCCCTGACGTGGAGTCTGAACCCCTTGCAGTTGTACCCCAAACTGTTGTACGTCCAGGTCCTCCCAAACTCCACGCCAGTCCTCTCCCGGGACCCATGCCGGCTCAGATGGCGCCTCCGGAGCCATTACTGCTCCCTGTGGCACGTTCACCTGTGTCAGGCCCCCTCTGAGCGCCTCGGAGTTCCCCCGGCTCCTGGTGCTGACGTGCCGACCAGGAGGGCCGTGGCCCCGGTGCCGGCAGGGCGGGGCTGTGGGGGGCGTTGACGGGTGGGCCTGTGCTCTGAGCGTTTCACTGTGTGGGTCATGGTCTGTTGGCTGTGGCCTGAGACTGGCTGACTTGTTGGCGCATTGCCTTGCTCTGCTCCCAGGCTCACGGCGTGCCCTGGTGCCACCCTTGCGGGGACCGTCTGCATGCTGGGCAGGGTGCCCCCTCTGCCAGGTGCAGCTGGGGTGGGGGCTTCGAGAAGCCGGCTTCCGGTGGGTGGCACAGCTCACCAGCAGCCTGGAACGTGACGGTTTGTCTGACCTCAGCCAGGCTTCCGGGATCCTGGGAGAACGGAGCCCCGGGAAGTGGGAGGGGCGCCTCATTCCCGGGTGCTGTGTGCTCAGTGCTGCTGGAGCTACATGGGGCACTGCTCCTCGCGCTCCCTCTTCCCAAGCCTGAGAAGGCGGGGGAGTGGCCGGCAGGCACACAGGCCCCACCAGCAAGGAGGGTGGAGTAGAGAGAAGTTTCCTGTTCCAGCCTTTCTGAGGCCACGGGTTTGGGGTGTTGATCTCCACGGCGTGGGTCTCACCACTTAACCTGAACCTGCTCGCGTCTGTGTGGCCTCGGCCCAGAGTCTCCGCGGCAGCGGCAGGCACTTGCTCTCAGGGTGGCGCCTTTTCCTGCCAAGGGCCTGTGGGCGTGGGTGGCATCACCCGCGGCCACCGGCACCTCAGCTAGACCAGCCTGCTCCGTGCGGCCACACGTTTCATCACAAACCCGTCGCCTGGGCGGGGCCAGACCAGGGGCGTAGGTCCTATGCAGCCTGCGGGCCACGCTCCCGGCCCTGACACGTGACCTTACATGCCTCATCGTCACCTTCGTCTCAGGAGCGGGATGGGAGGCGCGGACCGCGGACCGCGCCTCGCAGGGGTCCCGTGCTGCAGCTTCAGGAGCCAGCTGATTTTCACGCCTTTTAAACAGAGTGCCTCTCCCCAGGTACAAGAGGAAGCTCCTCGTCAACGACTGCGGGCGGGAGAGGAAGTCGCTGCTGGGGAGGTACGCCCTCCTCACCCGTGCGGGGATGGTGTCTGACGTGCTTATTCCTGCGGGGACAGAGGCTGGGGGGGGGAGCCCAGGGGCAGGCCTCCGCCCTGCGCTGCCTGCCGGCCGAGTGGCGAGGCTGGTTCAGGCGGGAACGTCCTCCTCCAGCTGTGGCTCCAAGGCGCCGTGCGCCGCGCCCGCCGACCTGGAGACGGACGAAAGCGTCCTGATGCGGAGGCAGAAGCAGATCAACTACGGGAAGAACACCATGGCCTACGACCGCTACATCCGCGAGGTCCCGAGGTAGGCGGCTCCTGTGAACAGGCTGTGACCGGGGAGGGAGGTTTGCCTCAGGATGGGGTGGCCGCAGCGGTCTCACGGCGCCAGGTCGCTAAGGACGGTGGGAAAGGTCTTCCTGAGAACACGGAGCAGTGCCGTGGGGACGGCAGCCCACCCTGCTCCCGCGGACACGTGCCCCAGCACTAGGATCCGGGCCTGCTTTCAGGGTGTAGGTTGGGGAGGAACGGCAGAGGTGGTGGTGGTGGTACAGGTGGTACAGCCACAGCGCTTCTGTGCTGTGGTAGGTAGTGGATCTAATTCCTAACAGCCCTAACCTTAGAGTCGGGGTAACCACCGGCCTGTGCAGGCGGGTGCTGAGGACCAGCATCCTGTCCCCCCCGCAGGCACCTCCGCCAGCCCGGTATTCACCCCAAGACCCCCAACAAGTTCAAGAAGTACAGCCGGCGCTCGTGGGACCAGCAGATCAAGCTCTGGAAGGTGGCCCTGCACTTCTGGGACCCTCCCACCGAAGAAGGATGTGATGTGCAAGAAATGTAGGTCGCACTGCCTTCTGATCCTGCTGCCGCACTCCGCCCCGGCCGGAGCAGCTCACCGGCGAGGCAGGAGGTCGTGGCAGCCGGAGGGGGCGGCTCGGGGAGAGTGCTTCCTGGGCTGAACTTACATTTTGTAGCTAGAAAAGTAGTTGAGTTTAGAAAACCTGGAGATAGGTGGGTTTTCATTTGCTTTTAAGGTAAATATTCTAAAAACCATCCGGGTAATTTATTTCAAACTGTGAAAGGAGGCCCCACCCCCTTTGTTTTAAACTCTGGAAGCGTTTCCCTCTTCCCGGGGGGTTTGAGCTCCTGCTTGCTCGGGAGGAGCTCGGCCTGAATGTGGTCAGGCCGAGCTGGGAGTGCAGAGGCCGGCGCCCTCGGGCAGTGCCCGGTGCCCGCGTGTGCTGGGACTTCGCTGGGAGCTGCCCCGTCTGAGGTGGTGTCTAACGAGATGAGCATTGGCCTCCGTCACACGGCTTTTCCTGGTGACAGTTGTCCTGCTCTCTTTACGACGGGAAGCGAGCGTCGGGCCTGCCTGTGTTCGCCGCCCTGCCCCGGGGTGGGCTGCCTGTCCTTGCACGGTGCTGGGCATGTGCCCGGCTTGCCGGGGTGGCACGGCTGTGGCAGCCGCGCCTCTGGCGGGCTCAGCGGCACGGGGGTCCCTGAGCGGTCTCGCAGCGAGGCGGGAGGACGTTAGGTTTAGCGGACAGACTCGCAGACTCTTCTGCCTCGGCTTCCTGGCTTTGCTCAGCGGTGACAGTGCCTGTTTGGTCCACAGACACCCTGTGGACCTCGGAGAGATGGAGACCGAGTCCGCCGAGAGCAGCTCCGAGTCCCAGGCCAGCTCCCAGGACCACAGCTTCGTAAGCAGCTCCCTGGGGTGTCCGCGGGGTGACCACAGTGCCCTTTGCAAACGGGTTCTGTCCTGATGTCTGGGGCGCCTCACCCTCCCTGTTCCCTGATAACCGCAGACGGTCCGAGGGCGTTCTAGGTAGTGCCCGCAGGTTAGGTTTTTGGTTCAATCCCCTGTCCACTGGAAAGGAAGGCCTTTCCCTCTGGTCTGGCACCTGCACCTGCCGGCTGCCTGTGCTCAGGCGGGCTGGGAGGGGGGGCTCGGGAATGGGGCTGGGAGCTGAGTGGGCTGGGGCTGGGGGTGTGGGCTCGGGGCTGAGTGGGGGCTGGAGGCTGTGAGTGTGAGTTGGGGGCTTGGGGCTGTGGTGCTGGAACTGGGACGCCCCATGCTGGCCAGTTTTAAAAATCCCATGTTTTGGAGAAAGAAAGCTCCCGAGATGAAAAGGCCTGAGAAGAAACGCCCAGCGTCCGATTGCGTGGTCACCGGGGGTGTGTGCTCTGGGACTTTTTTTTAACAACCCATGCGTCTCTTACTCACAAATAGAAGCCACGGGAAGTATGACGTACACATTTGTCCAAGGGGGTGGGCGCCCCCAGCAAAACGCACCACGGTCCGAAACCAGCCCGTCGTGGTGGGAGCCCTGGGACTTTTTAATTTGATTTTAGAGAGAGGAAGTGGGGAGAGAGGACCAGTATTTTTTTGTTTCTCGCTTTTGTTGGCGTGTCTTGAACGTGTCTTGACCGGGAATCAAACCTGCAACCTGATGTATTGGGCAACGCTCCAACCAGTGGAGCTGCCGGCCAGGGCTCTGCAGGCTTTCTCCTGTGCCGTGCACACCCGTGCCCACCACCCACTACAGGTTCCTCTGCCGCACTTCTCACAGGGACGGCCAGCCTAGGGCGTGTGAGGACGGGGGGAACCGGGACACACGTGTCTGGTGTGGAACAGCACGCCTCCGTGAGCACCGGCACCGGGCCCGGCCAGTGTGGCAGCCTGTGGCCTAGGGTTGCCCTGCCTGCCTCCTGCCCTGGCCCCGTGAGCAGGTCCCTGCCCTCCCGGCGCAGAGGCCCAGCAGGAGGAGGCAGGGCTCCCGCCGAGAGGAACCGCTGGAGTGGTTTCTGGGGGCGACGGGCCGGCACGGCAGGGTGTCGCCCGAGGATGTGTTTTTCCATTGATTTCTGGGGAGGGGGGGGGAGGGGGGGAGGGAGGGAGGGAGGGGGGGAGGGAGGGAGGGAGGGGGAGGGAGGGGGGGAGGGAGGGACATGAACAGAGGGAGACATCAGTTGGTTGCCTCCCTCCCCCACAGGCCCCCATGGGGCTGGAACCTGCTGCTGAATTGAACCTCCGCCGGCTCCAGCCACTGGTCCACACCGGCAGGGGCCAGTGGAACTACTTTAAATGACACTAAAAAGCAAAACCTGTTCGTTAAAGCAACCAGACCAGTGTTAAACGCACACACACTCCGTGCTGGGAGCCGGAGCTCAGTGCTGTCCTTCACGTTCTCTGCACCTACGACAGGCGCCCACTCACTCCTGACTCCCACAGCCTGTCCCCTGCACACACAGTGGGAAGCGGCCTCGCCTTCGGGTGGGCTGGGCAGCCTCCCTGCGCTCCGAGTTTGCTCAGTGTCGGTGTGACTGCTCTGTGAGGCGGCGAGGGCCCGTCTAGTGCCCGCAGCTCCTCCCCTGCACCGTGATGGCTGCGCTCGGTGGAGTTAGCTCACTGGTCACAGGTCCCATGTGAGGAGCTGGTGTGACCGTGCTTCTGTCTCCTAGGACATGTATGAGGGCACCCCCACCAAGGTGAGACACCTGGACTGCCACGTGGAGGACGAGTTCGACTTGGAAGCATGTTTAACTGAGCCCCTGAAGGACTTCGCGGCCATGAGCTAACCTGCCCTCGGAGGCTCCTGCTAATATTACCGCCTGGGGATTGTTACTCTTGCCTTATTTTCTTAAACAGTTTTGTGTATGGCCAGTGTATGTTGCATGTTTTAAGTCCGAAATGCAATTAAATTCGATGATAATTGAACTTGAAGCAATCTTATAACAGACTTAATCGCTTGGTCCCCACGATTCCCAAGTTCACCCAACAAGCATACTTGAACCGGTGTCCACCGAATCTGGGGTGCTGATCTGCCGCTTGTGGGAGGTGGTGTGGGTGTCCCGTGTCAGCTCCCTGGACTGTGTGAGGGTTCTCACCGTCAGGCCCTGTAAGGTCTTCATGCAAACTTAATTTGTGGCCTTTTGTCGGTGAGTCAGAGCCAGAGTCACAGTCGCAGTCCAGTCGGTGTTTGTAAATAGTGCCAGGGAGGCCTCTCCCAGTCGTACTCGGAGTTAGGCAGCAAAGGGGTTTAGGAAGAACCTTTACACCGTTACTTTACCATGTAAAATTGCTGTAAATGATGATGTATACAGATCTGTTCAAACCTCCAATTGTAAACTTCTCGTTAAGGCTGTTGTGAAGTTTTTATTGCTTTTGTACGGAATGAGATTGCAAAAATAAAAGAGCCTTTAACTGACTGCGTTGCCTAATAGGCTCATTGCCGGCGGCTCCTCTGCTTCCGTCCTCGCCACGCGGCCTGGGAGGACTGCAGGGGGGGACGGGGTTGTGGCCCAGGCTGTCACCCCCACCCCCAGAGGACCGACACCCGTGGGGGTTTAGAGCTGGAGCCAGACATCCATGGGAGCTAGCATCCCCCTAAGCTCAGGGACCTTCGGCAGGGCCCCGTGACAGCCCTGCCCTGTCCCCTGACCGCTGCATGGCGTCCAGGTGAGTATCCAGCGGGTCCTTAGAGGCTGCCCCGCCGACGCTGCCCTCCAAAGCCACACGCACCTCCTGCCCTAGTCCCTGCCACCAGCCACGGCCACACGCCCAAGCAAACCCCAACGGAGGCACGGGGGACGTGGAAACGGAGCCCAAAGTGTGCACTTGCCTCGATGGGCAGAGTCCATGTGTCAGGTTAGAGGTAGAGGGTGTGGCTGGTGGGTGAGGGGGTGACAGCGGGGTCGGGAGCGGCCTGATGGCGGCATTGCAGCGGGGACAGCGTTGGGGGACGCACTCACCTGGCAGCGGGAGCCAGCCGCTCATCGGGTGGGAGGCTGGGTGTGGGCCCTGGGGGAGGGCAGGCAGGAGAGCCAGGTGGCTGCCAGCGTGGTGCTGGCTAGTGGGCAGTGACGGGCGGGGGCCCAGGTGACAGTCAGCTCTGCGGTGCCGCTGCCCTCAGCCGCAGGGGCGGAGGCTGATGCTTCAGGAGCCGAGGTGGGAGCTTGGCCAGCGAGACGTGGTCTGTGCCGAGGTTCTGGCTGGACGGAGCTCCCAGGAGACCTGACACCCGGCCCCCAGCAGAGGTGGGGACCGGAGGACGGCGGGCTGAAACGCAGTATTCGGCGCAGGGTGCCTGCCTGCACCCAGAGGCCCTGACAGGTCCTCCTGGGCCCCCCACCCCACCTGCTCAGGCAGGGAGTCTGCACCAGGTCCCTGGTGTGTGGGGTGTGTGCGGGGGACGCGCGCGGGGGACGCGCGCGGGGGGCGGGGGGAACTCTGGCTCAGGGTCTCCAGGTGAGGACTCGGCCCAGGAGAGCCCACCTCAGCGCCAGGAGCCGTGTAGGAGAGAGATGGGACGCCTGGGAGACGGACTGATCCGCGGGTGGTAGGGGGTGTGGGCTGGCGGGAGCGGGAGGGTGAGAGGTCGTGTGTGTGTGTGTGTGTGTGTGTGTGTGTGTGTGTGTACTCAGGCTTCCCTCCGAGTGAGGCGGGCAGGGGCGGTCTGACTGGGGTTCTGGAAGCATCTGCCCTGGCTCCTGGCTTTGGCTTCGCATTTAAATTCTCAGAATGCTCCGAGGCCCCGAGGAAATCAATCTTGGGCTTTTGTGCTCGCCTCTCACGCTGTTAACATAATCTAGCACTTTCCGCGGAGGCACAGATATCCGTGGCCAGGATCCAGTTGTCTTTCTTCTTGACTCTTGTACATCGAACCGAGAGGTGTCAGAACTGAATTAAGTTTGTCCGGCGTGATTAATTCCTCACCGCTCCGGGCCGATCGCTATCTCGGGCCCCTCGGTGATTCATTTTCCTATCTTCCCGTGTCGAGATGGACGTGGTCAGCTTATCAGGGTTGTCATCCCGCACCCCCACTTCCCCTTCTCTCTCATCTGTGCAGCCATTGTTGTTCCTGCGCCTGGCTGGGTTCTGTCCTCCCGCCGTCCTCCCTCAGCTGTCCGCCCCCGGCCGCCGATGCCGTCCCTCCCGGCCCCGTGTCCCCGTGTCCCCGTGGTGGGCAGTGTGGAGCCGCCCAGGTGCGCCAGCAGCTTCTGCCCTGCCCCCGGCGCTGGCCGCACGTGGCTTTCTGGACCGGAGCCGGTGGCTCTTCTGAGGATGCAGTTACGGGTGCGTTTTCTCCCATGTGGGCAACACGGATCGGCCTGCTGGATAAAGTCACATCACAGCGCTTGGCCAGCTGCCAGGGCCCTGCGAGCGAGCGTGTGAACCATCCTCCCTGCACTGCACCGCGTTTGGCTCTGTGTGCGCATGAGGGTGGGGTGGGCCTTGGGATCATTCGGGAGCGTGTGAATTTTATGTTTACGGATCTCGAGGGGGTATTTGTTTGTTTCCTTTGCTTTCATTGCTGTTTTGTTTGCTTTTTTCATGTACAGGCTTTACTTTATTTTTAAAAATATATTTTATTGATTTTTTTACAGAGAGGAAGGGAGAGGGATAGAGAGTTAGAAACATCAACGAGAGAGAAACATCAACGAGAGAGAAACATCTATCAGCTGCCTCCTGTACACACCCACTGGGGATGTGCCTGCAACCAAGGTACATGCCCTTGACCGGAGTTGAACCTGGGACCCTTCAGTCCGCAGACCGACGCTCTGTCCCCTGAGCCGAATCAGCTACGGCACACATGCCGGCTTTAACGATGTAAGCCACTTTGTCAAACGCACACTGCAGAGATGCAGAGAGCCTGGCCAGCATGGCTCAGAGGTTGAGCATTGACCTATGAACCAGGAGGTCATGGTTTGATTCCAGGTCAGGGCATAGGCCAGGTTGCGGGCTTGTTCCCCAGTAGGGGGGCGAGCCAGAGGCAGCTGATCAATGATTCTCAGCATTGATGTTTCTATTTCTATCCCTCTCCCTTACTCTCTAAAATCAACAAAAATCTATCTATATATAAAAGCCTAAGCTATGGCCGAAACTGGTTTGGCTCAGTGGATAGAGCGTCGGACTGTGGACTGAAGGGTCCCAGGTTCAATTCCAGTCAAGGGCATGTACCTTGGTTGCGGGCACATCCCCAGTGGGGGGTGTGCAAGAGGCAGCTGGTCGATGTTTCTCTCTCATCGACGTTTCTATTGTAGCTCTCTATCCTTCTCAATTCCTTTCTGTGTAAAATCAATAAAATATTGAAATATATTAAAAAAAAAAAAAAAAAGCCTAAGCTATGACCCACACTGACCACAAGGGGGCAAACAACACACGTAAGGAAACATGGAACAGACAGACCAATCTCAGAGGGAAGAGGTGAGGGAGAAGGGTGGGAAAAGATTAACCAAAGATTTTATATGAAAACTAGAGGCCCAGGCCATGGATTTGTACACTGATGGGGTCCTTTGGCCTGGCCTGCGGGGATCGGGCCAAAACCAGCTCTCCGACATCCCCCGAGGGGGTCCCAGATTGCAAGAGGGCACAGGCCAGGCCGAGGGACACCATCGGTGCATGAAACCTTGCACTGGGCCTCTAATATATATATATTTTTAAAAAAGGTTCATAGAGCCGAGACCGGTTTGGCTCAATGGATAGAGCGTCGGCTTGGGGACTGAGGGGTCCCGGGTTCGATTCCGGTCAAGGGCATGTACCTTGGTTGCGGGCATATCCCCGGTGGGGGGTGTGCAGGAGGCAGCTGATCGATGACTCTCTCTCATCGATGTTTCTAACTCTCTATCTCTCTCCCTTCCTCTCTGTACAAAATCAATAAAATATATTTAAAAAAAAAAAAAAAAAGGTGCATAGAGTTGCATGCCCACCGGTGGGTGCAGCAGACTCCGTGAGGGGCCCGCAGGGACTAGGCTCCATGTGAAGTGAAGGCTGTAACGCATGTGGAGGGTCGATGGGGCTTGATGAGGCGGAGGCCTCAGGCTTGACACCAAAAGCACAGTCCATAAAAGGAAAAACCATGAAACTGGTGGACCTTGTCACACTGAAAGCCTTCTGCTCCGTGACGACCTGGAGGGGAGGAAGACCAGCTGCAGGGAAGGAGGAACTCCGCAGGGCGCTGTGGGACAGAGGGCCGGCACCAGGCACGTGCAGGACGCACAGACCAGGTAGAAAGCCGGCGGAGAGGCGGGTGGCTGGCGAGAAGTGCCAGGCGGTGCCGCCTCCCTGTCCACAGAGGGGGCGTCGTGCATGGAAAGGGTCCCCGTGGTACCTGACAGGCTCAGGGGAGGCCCTTGCGGTGACCCTGCAAAGCCAGAGACCAGAGTGACCACAGAGGAGGGGGCGCGGTTAAAACCTCAGGCGGCTTGTGGCAGGCAGTCTTGTTCTCGGCGAGACTGCCCTGACGAAGGTCTGTCTTCTTCATCTTCGGTAACATTCCTGTGGAGTGTCCGGGTGACCCGTCGCCAGACCGGGGCCCAGCGGTGCACCGGCACTGAGACCATAATCCTCTCATGGTTATGGCTACCGTGTTCATTGCCGACTGATAACTGTCCTGCACCCACCCACCGAGGAAAAGGGTGCCTACCATTTACTGTTCGTCCCATCCCAGAGTCCCCCCCTCTGCTTCCTCCCACCTCCCTAACCTCTCCTGAGACCCATCCCCAACCACCCCCCGACCACCCACCCCCGACCACCGTCGAGCCAAACCACCCAGGGCTGTGCCTTCTCTTCCGATGTGATGAATGAAACAAGGCACAGAGCCATTTCCTGGAGCACTAAGACCCTGCACAACCTCCGACCGGGAATGTGCCCGCAACCAAGGTACATGCCCTTGACCAGAATCGAACCTGGGACCCTTCAGTCCGCAGGCCGACGCTCTATCCACTGAGCCAAACTGGTTTCAGCTTGTAACCTGTTCTTCATCACATGCTCTGCGTATCTACTTTCTGAACTACTTTTTAGAAGACCATATTTGGTGTAAATAACGGCAGTTTGTCCTGGCCAGTTTGGCGCAGAAGACAGAGCCACGGCGAGCAGACTGCAGGGTCCTGGGTTCAATCCCGGTCAAGGGCACACACTTGGTGAAGCAGGCAGCCAATCCATGTCTCTCCTGGAGGTTTCTCTGTCGGTCTCTCCCCCTCCCACCACTCTCTTCAATAAATAAATTAAAAATAATAATGATGATGGTAGTTTTCAGTTCTTCCCGTCCTTTTAGCATCTGCTTCCTGTCTAGTGGGGGTGATGCTCTAGCATGCTCTTAGACCCTTGCTCAAGGTCACACTGAGGTCACCGGCAGGGCGGGTACGCCCCGGAAAGTGGGGACCACGGGTCGCAAGGGGAGTACCCCGAACCGCCGGGCCGCCTGCGGGGCCACGATCTTCCCCCAGCCAGAGGCACCGGCCTTCCCGGCCAGCGCGCCCTCCCGCCGCCTCAGGTCGCCCCGCTGCCTGCCTTCGCGACTCCAGACCACGCCCAGGCCGGCGTAGCCCCGCCCCTGCTCTTTCAGGCCCCGCCCACCAGGACGCAGCTCCGTCCCCTCCGTCGGCGCTGGCGCGCCCTGCCGCCTCAGGCCCCGCCCACCCAGACGCCGCCCAATCCCCGCGCGCGCGGTGCCGCCGAGGGGCGGGCGGCGGCGTGGCCGAACGGCCAATGAGCGCGGCCGGAGGGGCGGGGTCGCGTGGTGTGCTCCGGCCGCTGAGGCGCGTCGGCGGTTGCGGGAGGAGCGCGGCCTGCGGGGCCGGCGGCTCAGTCGCTCCGCCCGGCCGGCCGTGGCCGCCGCCGCTCGGCCGCGCTCAGGTACCGGCCCGGCGTCGGCCCTCGACGCGGCGGCCGGGCGCGCGCCTCCCGCCCGTGCGTGCGCGCCCCGCGGGGCCCTGCGTGCGCGCGCCTGCGCGGGGCCGCGCGTGAACTTGGGCCGGACGGGCCGGCTGCCGGCTGCGCGCAGACCCGGCCGCGCGGCCCGATGCGCTTCCCCCGCGTGAGTGCCGAGCGTTTCCGCCGCCGGACCCCGCGGGCGGGCCGCTGAGGGCGCGGGGCCGCGGGGGCTGGGACTCCCGCCGCGCGCCAGCCTCCTCGGACCGGCCCGGGACCCCCGCGCCGCGAGCCCCACGTGCGCCCCGGACCCCGCGCCCCCCGCGCCCGTGCGGGGCCGAGCGGGGCCGCGCCGCCACTTGTTGAGCGGCCGGGGGTGCCGCCCGCGAGCCGCGGCCGCCGGGCTCACGTGCGTGTCACTCCGCGGCGAGCGGAGCAGGAAGTTGGCCGGGACACGGCGAGGAGCCTCGCGGCGCCGGACGACGTGGGAGGCGCCCTCCGCGGCCGGCGGCGTAAGTCTGGGCTGCGGCGGGCGTGTGCGCCGCCTCCACTCCCCGCGGCCCCGGCGCCCGCGCCTGCAGCCCGGCCCGCGCCACCCCTTCCCGGCGGAGCGGCGGGCGGCCCGGCCGGAGCTCCGCGCCTGCACCCGGTCGGCGGCCGCCGCGCTCCGGGGTTGAGCGCGACCCGGAAGCCGGCCTCGCGGAGGGTGGAAGGTGGGGAGACACTTTGTCCCCATCGGTTGGAAGTTCTTTTTAAAAAAAAAAGACATGTTTTCATTGACTTCCGGGAGGAAGGAAGCTGGGGGAGAGAGACATCAGTGATGGGGGAGAACGGCCGATGGGCTGCCTCGGCCCGGGCATGTGCCCTGGCCGAACCGAACCCGGGTCCGCGGCGCTGCCCACTGAGCAGGCCAGCCGGGCCGGTCACTTTGAAATCCTGGAACATAAATAACGGAAGCAGAAGGCGTGTGGAAGCAGTGAGTTTGCTCACCGTCGGTGCGAGAGCCATTCCAGACGATTGATTCTCTGCGAGTCCGCACCGCAGGCTCCCTGCTCCGGCCTGGCCCCCGCCTCGCTGGGGACCAGAGCTCCGTCCCTCTGGTGTGGCCTCTGCCACTTTGAGGGTCACGCGACAAGGCGGGCACGCGTGACGTGAGTGGGGGCTCGAGACCGCTCTGCCCTGTGCCCGGGTCCTTGCATTTTCGGGCTTACCCGGGACTAGGGGCCTTGCTGGTACCGGAAACCCTAAAGGAGAAAGCCAGCCACCACTGTCTTTAGGTGGCGAGGTGGGACCTAGCCTGGGTTCGAGTCCTTTGCCCTCTGCCGTGTCCATGGGCGGCACATGAGGCGGCTTCTGCCTCCCCCGGGTCGCAGCAGTTTTCACAGATGCACAGCCAACTTTAAAACAAACCTAAAAACAATACAGGGCTTTAAATATATACATATTTTATTGATTTTTTACAGAGGGGAAGGGAGAGGGATAGAGAGTTAGAAACACCCATCAGCTGCTTCGCACACCCATGGGATGTGCCCGCAGCCAAAGTACATGCCCTTGATCGGAATCGAACCCGGGACCCTTCAGTCTGCAGGCTGACGCGCTATCCACTGAGCCAAACCGGTTTTAGCTACAAAAGTTTTTATGTAGACCCTTTTGGCTTTTTCTGCAGCAGTCTTTCTTAAAATGTATTTTTATTGAACTCAGAGACGAAGGGAGAAGGAGAGAGAGAAACATCCGCCATGAGAGAATCATGCCATGGGCTGCCTCCTGCACACCCCACACTGGGGATGGAGCCCGAAACCTGGGCACGTGCCCTGACCGGGAGTGGAACCCTGACCTGGTTCATAGGTCAGTGCTCAACCCTTGAGCCATACCTGCTGGGCTGCCGCAATATTTTTTTAAAATATATTTTTATTGATTTTAGATTCTTTTTTTAAAAAAATATATTTTATTGATTTTTTACAGAAAGGAAGAGAGAGAGATAGTTAGAAACATCGATGAGAGAGGAACATCCATCAGCTTCCTCCTGCACACTCCCCACTGGGGATGTGCCCACAACCAAGGTACATGCCCTTGACCAGAATCGAACCTGGGACCCTTCAGTCCACAGGCTGACGTTCTGTCTACTGAGCCAAACTAGTTAGGGCTGCAGCAACTTATATATACACACATTTTTTTTTTTTAATTTTATTGAGTTTATTTGAGCCAAACTGTCGACATTTGCTGGGAAGCAGAACCTCAATGGACTGAGATAATGCTCTGAAGAATGGCGGGTTACATTTCTGTTTATACATTGCAATCAAAGGGGGGACCTGGGTGGGTTACATGAAATTCATTGGTGATGGAGTAAGGAGGCGGGAGAAAGCAAGTGGTGGGAAACCCCTGGGATTGGATAGTGCAGCAGTATCTGCCAGGAGAGCTGATTTGCAGTCTGACGCGCCCTGTGGATAAAAGGCTGCTGTGCACGCTCCAGGCGGGAGCTGCCCCCTAGTGGTCAGTGCTCCCACAGAAGGAGCACCACTCACCAGCGGCCGGGCTCAGGCTGGTGAGCTCAGTGCCAGGGCGGGAGCCTCTTGTCTCCGCCGTAGGCAGCTGGTAAGGACAACACCCCCCAAGGGCTCCCGACTGCGAGAGGGTGCAGGTGGGGCCGAGGGGACACCCCCCGGTGCGCGGATTTCAAGCACTGGGCCTCTAGTCCGTTATAAATGGTCACAATTTAAACGTGAGCCAGGAGCCGGGGCATGTTCATGTGTGTTACTGACTCCAACCCGTGGCCTCGCGCAGGGGGTGGCTCTTTCCTGTTCAGTCCAGGTCACGGGCTCAGAGCCACCCCGAGCAGCAGCGGGATCAGAGCCTGCCTCTGGCTGCTGACCGGCCCCCCCCCACCTCCCTTCTCTCTCCGAGGAGCCACGTGCTGCGGGATCTCTCCTTCCGTCCGGCACAGCGGAACGATCCTCTGGTCAGACACAGCTTCCTCTCCTTTGGTCACGTGTGGCGCTAGCATGTCAGACGTGGTGTCTGCCCTTCTACACGGAGCGCCTGCTGTCCAGCCTCCTGGGGGTGTAGTGTCACCAGGATAGTGGCTGTCAGGACGGGCAGTTTCGTCTCTTGTGTTGAAGTCTTTGTTTGTTATTATTATTATTTAAAAAAAACTTTATTGTTGAAAGTATTACATATGTCCCCTTTCCCCCCGGACCTCCACCCGCCCGTGGGCTGTGCATGTATGCACACAAGTTCCTGATCTCTTCCCGTCCACCCACCGCCTTCCCCGCCTTTCCTGAGATCCCGCAGTCTGTCCATGTTTCTGTGTCTCCAGATCCATTTTGTTCATCAGTTTAGTTTATTTTGTTCATTAGATCCCACGTATGAGTGAGGTCATGTGATGTGTGTCTTTCTCTGACTGGTTTATTTCTCTTAGAATAATACTCTCCAGGTCCCTCCATGCTGTCTCAAAGGGTACGAGGTCCTCCTTTTTCACTGCTGTGTAGTATTCCACGGTGTAGCTGTACCACGGTTTTTAACCCACTCACCTGCTGAGGGGCACTTAGGCTGTCTCCGGATCTCAGCTATGGTGAATTGTGCTGCTATGGACGTAGGGGTGCATATATCCTTCCCGATGGGTGTTTCTGGTTTCTTGGGATTTAGTCCTAGGAGTGGGATCACTGGGTCAAATGGGAGTTCCATTTTTAGTTTTTTGAGGAAACTCCACACTGTTCTCCACAGCGGCTGCACCAGTCTGCATTCCCACCAGCAGTGCACGAGGGTTCCTTTTTCTCCGCATCCTCGCCAGCACCTGTCGTTTGCTGATGTGTTGATGGTGGCCATTCTGACAGGTGTGAGATGGTGCCGCATTGTCGTTTTAATTTGCATCCCTCGGATGACCAGTGACTCTGAGCATGTTTCCATCCATCTCTCGGCCTCTGCATGTCCTCTTTGGAGAAGTGTCCGTTCGGGCCCTCTGTCCATGTCTGACTGGGTGCTTTGTCCTCCTGTCGCGTTGTCGGAGTTCCTTCTCTGTTTGGAAAGAGATCTTCCATCAGAAGCATCGTTGGCAGACACGTGGGCTCCCTTTCCGTGTGCTGGTGGCATCTCTGGCTGTGCACACGCTTTTCCCTGGACGTCGTCCACGTGTGTGTGTTCTCCCGTGTGCTCTGCCCACACACCCGAGTGTGCACCCGCCCCCGGGGCAGCGTGGCAGCGTCTGTCTGTCCCCAGCGGTCAGCTTCGCCTGGGTTTGAACTAGCATGCGTGGAGCTGCATTCTAAGGGGTCAGTGTCACTTCAGGACACCCTGCCCGGTCAGGCTGCGGGTCCACAGGAGGCGGCTGGTGCCTGAGTCTCACCCAGCGGGCTGCTGCTCCTGGGGATGGTGAGGATCCCAGGAGGAGTGGCAGGGAGGACAGTGGAGTCCATTTCTAAAGTGGAAGGCACGTCCTCCCCAGTCCTGCACTCTGCGCCGCTGGCCTCCCTGCCGGGCCCGGGGCTGGGTGCCGTCAGCTGCTCCTGCTCAGTGTGGCTCGGCGCGGGCGGGGCCTCTCCAGGAGACTGTCCACGGGCCTGGCCCTCCACGCTGTGTCCACGGGGGTGGGTCTCGGCTGTCTTCCCCCGCCTCTGGCTGTGGCCTGGCCTGGGCGCCTCCTCCCAGGGCGGAGGGCTCAGTGCCCATCCCAGCATCTCCTCTGTCACCCCCAGCTGGGCCTGGCACAGACTGCACCCTGTCCAGCTCCTGTGGGGCAGAGGGGCTTTTGTCCGACTGGATGGAGGGGGGAGGGGTGTGTGACTCCTTTGGGCCTTTGTCAGCAGTGAGGCGGGCAGTGGGCAGTGTGTGGGCAGTGGGCCCTCCGTGGGCGTGTGCGGGCACTGGGCCCTCCGTGGGCAGTGGTGAGGCGGGCACTGGGCCCTCCGTGGGCAGTGGTGAGGCGGGCACTGGGCCCTCCGTGGGCAGTGGTGAGGCGGGCACTGGGCCCTCCGTGGGCAGTGGTGAGGCGGGCACTGGGCCCTCCGTGGGCAGTGGTGAGGCGGGCACTGGGCCCTCCGTGGGCAGTGGTGAGGCGCGCACTGGGCCCTCCTGGGCAGTGGTGAGGCGGGCACTGGGCCCTCCGTGGGCAGTGGTGAGGCGGGCACTGGGCCCTCCTGGGCAGTGGTGAGGCGGGCACTGGGCCCTCCGTGGGCAGTGGTGAGGCGGGCACTGGGCCCTCCGTGGGCAGTGGTGAGGTGGACACTGGGCCCTCCGTGGGCGTGTGTGGCAGGTTGGTTGGGTGCCTCCCCTGCAGGCTGAGACTCGGCTTCCCGCCCTTCCAGCTCTCACAGACGCCGGCGCGCTCTGACAGGCGGCCTCGGGCTGTGGAGACCCCTGGAGATGGATCGCTCGCCTGTGACCCCGAAGTGCGGCCGTGAGGGTTAGCGCCGAGCCCGATGCGCTGGGACCCCAGGGCCCGGTGGTGCAGACGCAGGACCCGGCGGCCCCCGACCATGGTCACGCTCATCACCGAGAAGCTGCAGAACCAGAGCCTGGATGACCTCGCACACCAGAGCTGCGATGCCGGCCCGGTGAGCTGGGCCCTGCCGGGCGGGCGGGGGGGGGGGGGGGGGGCAGCATGCAGGGCACCCGTCCCAGAGCCTGCCGGCCTCCTGGTGGGGGTTTTCACATCTTTGAACTTTTCCTGTAACTCACCCCAGGAGTTTTGTTTTCATTGGTTCAGAGAGGAAGAGAGTGGGGGGAGAGGAACATCCATGATGAGAGCCATGGATCGCTGCCTCCTGCACTCCCCCCACTGGGGTCCGGGCCTGCAGCTCTGCCTGGCAGTCACACCGTGCCCTCCTGGCTCACAGGTTCACAGGGCGATGCTCAACCACGGAGCCCCATTGGCTGGGCTATAGGGTTTTGTTTTTGTGTGTTTTTTAGGGGGGGAAAGAGAATGAGAGGGACAGTGATCGGTATAGCCTCCTGGCAGCACCCCGACTGGGCATTGAACCCACGACCTGTTGGTGTTTGGAGCCACTGGCCGAGGCAAAACCCCAACTTGTGAAAGCCTGACCCACACAGCGAGGGCAGGCCTCGGCACACACCCTCCCGGGGCCGCGAGGGGTCTGCCTGGGCGGGCAGGCAGCCGTGTCCTCGTGTGTCAGCGTGAGCGTCAGGACTCCTGCCCGGGGCGGCTGTGGCCGGTGGCTGTGTGCCCGGCCCCGGGGGGGGGGGAGCCCGGCTCGGGGGCTGGGTCAGGTGGGCGCTGTGCTAGCTCTGGGGCCCGATGGGTGCTGGGAACATCGTGGTGCTCTGTAACAGATGTGTGCTGTGCACTGGAGCTGACACAGGAACACTGACTGTAAACTAGCGGAAAGCATGGCTTTTTAAAAGGGGAGGATTCTCCGAGTCAGGCCGTCTCGCCAGCTGCCGGAGGGCCTGTGGGCAGGAGGGTGCTCTGCGGGCAGGAGGGTGCTCTGCGGGCAGGAGGGTGCTCTGCGGGCAGGAGGGTGCTCTGTGGGCAGGAGGGTGCTCTGCGGGCAGGAGGGTGCTCTGCGGGCAGGAGGGTGCTCTGTGGGCAGGAGGGTGCTCTGCGGGCAGGAGGGTGCTCTGTGGGCAGGAGGGTGCTCTGCGGGCAGGAGGGTGCTCTGCGGGCAGGAGGGTGCTCTGCGGGCAGGAGGGTGCTCTGCGGGCAGGAGGGTGCTCTGTGGGCAGGAGGGTGCTCTGCGGGCAGGAGGGTGCTCTGTGGGCAGGAGGGTGCTCTGTGGGCAGGAGAGCCGTGCTGCGTCCTGACGGCATCTCCTGTGAACTCTCTCTCAGTGCTCAGCCGAGAAGCGGAACAGCAGAAGTGGCCCCGTGTTCCCTTTTGAGACCAATGGTAAGTGTGTGAGCCGGGTCAGTGTGCCACCACCTGTCTCACCTCGACGGGGGGCGGTGGCGGGAGGAAGAACAGGACGGCAGTGCATGCCTGGTTATCGTGTGCTGGACCAGTGGTGTGTATGGGGGGAGAGGGGGGGCAGGCATGCCCTGGCGTGTGTGTCTGCCCTTCACCCTCCAGGACACAGCTCCACATATGTGCCCTGTGGTCTGAATGGGCCAAGTGGCCTCACCACCCAAGTGTGAGTGTGTGCGTGTGCGTGTGCGAGAGTGAGCACGAGTGTTCACATGGGTGTGAATGAGTGCATGTGAGTGTGAATGCATGTACACAAGTGTGAAATGTGTGAGCATTGAGTGTGCATGTGTGAGTGCATGTAGTGCAAACATTGTGCATGTGAGAGAATGTGCATGTGTGTGCATGTGAGTGAGCACTGAGCATGCACGTGAGAGTGAATGAGTGTGCACGTGAGTGAATAAGCGAGTGTGCATGTGAGTGTGAGCACTGAGTGTGCACGTGAGAGTGAATGAGTGTGCACGTGAGTGAATAAGTGAGTGCACGTGAGTGTGAGCACTGAGCATGCACGTGAGAGTGAATGAGTGTGCACGTGAGTGAATAAGTGAGTGCATATGAGTGTGAGCACAGCATGCACGTGAGAGTGAATGAGTGTGCACGTGAGTGAATAAGTGAGTGCATATGAGTGTGAGCACTGAGCATGCACGTGAGAGTGAATGAGTGTGCACGTGAGTGAATAAGTGAGTGCATGTGAGTGTGAGCACTGAGCATGCACGTGAGAGTGAATGAGTGTGCACGTGAGTGTGCATGTGAGTGTGAGCACTGAGTGTGCATGTGAGAGTGGATGAGTGAGCAAGTGTGCATGTGAGTGTGAGCACCGAGTGTCGAGGGCGAGGGGGCGCCAGGCTGACATGCCAGGGAGGGCAGGCAGGGTGGCACTGACACCGCCCTGGGCTCCCCGCTGTGCAGCCCAGTGCCCATGAGGCAGCTGGCAGGCCTCCTGCTCAGCCGTGGTCTCTCCCTCTTCCTCAGGAGACAGGTGCCCCTGGAAGGCCCTGAGCGGAGGGTGGCCCCTCGGGAGCCTGGCGGCCGTGGTCCCCGCCCTCCCCTTCCCGCCGGGCCTGGGCGCGGGCAGCGCCGTGGGCCTCAGGGAGAGCGCGGGCCCGGCCCTGGCCCCGCCCAGCAAGCGGCACTGCCGCTCCCTGTCGGAGCCGGACGAGCTGGCCCGCTGCCGCTCCCCCTGGCGCCCCGGGGGCTCCAAGGTCTGGACTGCCGTCTCCAAGCGGCGCTGCCACAGCGGCGGGAGTGCCAGCCTGCCCGGGGGCGCCCTGCCCGCGGCCGGCCCCGGCTCCCCGCCCGCGCCCCGGCCTGCCTCCGCCAGCGGCGGCTGCGAGGACGCCTCCTGCCCGCCCCGGGCGCCCCCGGGGCCCGCCCTGTGCTCCCGGCGCCGCCTGTCCCTGTCGCAGGAGCACCTGCTGGACACAGACGCCCCGGCGCCCGCGCCGGCGCCGGGCTGGCGGCTGGGCCTGCTGCGGAGCCGCTCGCAGCCCTGCGTGCTCGCCGGCAGGAAGAGCCGCCGGAAGCGCCCGCGGGAGGAGGACCCGCGCTGGCCGCGCCCGTCCCTGGACTTCCTGAAGATGACGCGGGTGAGGCTCCGGGGCGGGAGGCTGGGCGGAGGCACGCCTGGTGCGCCGAGTCCTCAGCGGGCTCAAGCCGGGCCGGCGGCCGCCACACACACCGCCTGCCCCCTCCACCCGCCTCTCCTCGGGCACAGACGCGGGAGAAGCCGTGTGCCGGCACATGGCCGGTGAGGGCTCGGGCGCTGAGCCCAGGGGCCGAGGCGCTGTGTGCCGCGGGGTCTTGGTCAGGGTGGACGGGGTGCCCAGGCCCCCCAGCAGCGCCTTACACACCGTCTTTCCTGCCACAGACGCTGAAGAACTCAAAAAGCCTCGGCTCCCTCGACTGCGACGGTGAGGATGAGGATGAGGCCAGGGCGAAGACGGCCGTGCCCTCCCCTCGGGCCCCGCACGGCCTCGCGGGCCTCGCCAGCCCGGCCTCCAGCCCCCTGGGCGCCCGCCGCAGCCCGTGGGCCGGGCGGGAGGGGCGGGGCGCCGGGGCGCCGGGGGCCTGGGACCGCGCCGGCCAGGAGGTGTGCCCGCCGGGCCCCGGCGAGCTGGACCTGGAGCAGATCGAGAACAACTGACGGCGGCGGCCGTCGGGGGGAGCGGCCGCTCAGTTTGGACGTTGAGCTCTTTTTGATCGTCTTTCCTACGGAGTATTTTGCATTTTTCTGGCTTTTACAGTTGTGGAGAAAGGTCTATTTTGAAATGCATTTTCGAGGGCATTCAGTTCGGGTTCTGGGCACACCCGGGGCGGGCTGGCTCCTCGCAAACGCCCGTGGCGAAGGGCGCTGTGCGTCCTGCAGCTGGAGGTCGGCGCCGCTCGGGGCAGGCCCAGCTCGCGGCCGGGCCTGCGTGGGGCCGCCTGGCCGCCTGGGCTGTGACTTCAATAAAAGACGTTTGCTTTGCACCGTGCCTCCCATTGTTTATCTTTTAGAAACTGTTTTCATTGACTTCAGAGGAAGGGCGGGGGGGAGAGAGAATCGGTGATGAGAGAATCACGGATCAGCCGCTTCCTGCACGTCCCACACTGGGGATTGAGCCTGCAACCGGACCTGTGCCCCGACCGGGAATTGAACTGTGACCTCCTGGTTCATAGGTCGGCGCTCAGCCTCTGAGCCGCACCAGCTGCGCCGAGTGTTGGTGTTCACGGTCAGGTGCACATGGCCTGGGCCGCCACATCCCGTGGATCCTGGCCCAGTGCGCCCCCCCACCCCCCGGTTCTTTCCTAATTTAACAGTCGTAGGGTTTCTATTAAGGGTGTAGGCCTGGGAACTTTGGGTGAAAGCGAGGTGTTTTGAGAAACTGTCTTTTTCCCTCAAGAAAGTTGGAGCAGGTCCCTCGTGGCAGGCGTTCTCACTGGTCAGGCCTGGGGTGGAGGGGCGAAGGCGGGGTTGTTTGCAGGCTGTCCTTCCTGAGGCCCAGCTCCTGCCCTGGGCCCCGGCCCGGCCTCCTGTGCTCGGGGCTCCGGCGGCGCCTGGCGGCGTGTCTGCTCGCAGACGGGGGTGGCCGCGTGGTTCTGGTTAACGTCCAGTCCTGGGATCGGCTGCGTGCGGGCGCAGGCCTGCGGCTCCCGGCGGGCGGGACCCAGGACTGCTGCAGCACCGCTGCTGGACTGCCCCCGGACGGCGTGTCCGGGCTAATCTGGGGAGATGGATAAAAGCAGAATAAAACGCCCTCGCTGGGGCGGCTCAGTGGTACAGCGGCGGCCTGCGGACTAAAGGGGCCAGGTTTTTTCTGGTCAAGGGCATGTTCCTGGTTGCAGACACTTCCCCAGTGGGGGCCGTGTGGGAGGCAGCCACTCAATGATTCTCATTATTAATGTTTCTTTCCTCCCTTCCTCTCTGAAATCAATAATATATTTAAAAAAATAAATACAAACAAAACATAAAGACTGACAACGGAGAAGCAGAAAGTCACCTCATCGGGTTGGAGGGTTTTGGACAATCCTCTTAGCGGTCGGGGGGTCAGGTGGACCCGAGAGAGCACAGTTTGTGTGGAAGGAGGTCTGCTTGCCGTCGCTGGATGCGGTGGCTGGCCGTCTGCGGGAGACGTCTGAGCCGACCCTGCACCCAGGAGGAGGGCTCGGCGAGTCCGAGGACGTGGCCGTGGCCATCCGTGGCCCCAGCACAGCCCAGGAGCAGAGAGCACACGCCTTGTGCTCAGGGCGGTGAACAGCTCGTTGTAACTCGTGGCCAGAGGAGAACTGACACACGTGAGAAGCGAGCGCTTAACAGAGCGACAGTGAACACCGCAGCAGTCGGATCTGCGGTCGGCGACAGGGAGCTTAGCCGTCAGCGGCCGTGTTGGAGTGAGTGTGGGAGACGGTGAGCGAAGCCCGGCTTGGGGAATCGGGTATGGTGGTGGGGAGGGGCGGTAGAAACGCTCAAGAATTTGAGGGCCCCGTGGAGGGGGGGACTGTCAGAATCCTCATCTCACCCCTCGGACACACGGGTGCCTCTCAGACACTTGGCTGTGCGGACGGATCCCTAGGCTGAGCCCGTATGAGGGGAAAAGACAAGCCAGCCGGCTGGCATGGCTCCATGGCTGAGCATCAACTTAGGAACCAGGAGGTGAGGGTTCGAGGCCCCGTCAGGGCACAGGCAGGGGTTGCGGGCTCGATCCCCAGTGGGGGGCGTGCAGGAGGCCGGTCCACGATTCTCTCATCATGGACGCTCCTCTCCCTCTCCCTTCCTCTCTGACCTGAGATGCGGCAGAGATCATGGGCACATCTTACAGGAAACGGCCGTGTCCCAGGAAAAACGTCACCAAAGCTGCCGGCTGGCGTGGCTCAGTGGTGGAGCACTGGCCCTGGAACCAGGTGGTCCCGGGTTCGATTCCCTGTCAGGGCACGGAGGCTGTGCGGCCGGGCTGACCGCCGTGGCTGAGCCCTTCCCGGTCCTCACCCCTGCGCAGGCCGAAGGGACAGCCCCCCCACGCCCGACCCGGCACCAGGGCCTGTTAGCACCAAGGAGGATCCCAGGCAAGTGGGGCCTGACTCCTGCAGCCTCCGGCCCATAGCGCTGGCCTCTCCCTCCCTCGCTGACCCCTGGCCTGGCCCACTCCTGAGCTGGACGGCCCTCACCAAGGGCCCTGCAGGATGGAGCGCCCCACGCCCGGCCCCACCGCCGCCGCCTCCTTCCCCGCAGCAGACACGCCTCGGAACGGCCCGGCTCCTGGTGGTGGTTACGGTCCGCAGGGGGTGGGAGCGGCGTGGTAACGGGTCGCCGCTGCTGCTCGGGCTCCTTTCCTCTTACCCGAGGAGCACCCCGATTCATGACGGGCGCCCCTCTTGTCTCCCATTCATTAATCGCCTTTACACGCCCCCCGCCCGTTCCCTTTACTCTGTCCTTCCTCCTCGTGGTGGACGGCAGTTCACCCGTCTGCAGCCTCTGGCTCAGTGACGAGAGCACGGGGCTGTGGCCTCCCCCCTAACCCGGCCCCTCCTCCGTGCGGCTGTGAGGTCGCCGTCACGGCCCCCTGCCCCCACCCCTGGAGTCACTCCGGAGAGCGGCTTTGCACCTTCAAGCGCCCGGCTCCTCTAGATCCTTCTGTCCACCTGAAGGTGCCTTGTGTTGCTGTAAAGGATGAGGCCTCTGTTTTACCTCTTGTAGCATAGCAAGGTCTGTGTGCATGTGTGCACCTGTGCCTACACACATGCATACGCATGGTGCACGGCTGTGCACACCACCCCGTGCACACACGTGCACACGTGCAGCCAGCTACACGAGTGCACGTGTGTATATGGCCACGTCTAGGTCCATGTGTGTGCATGTGTGCCTGCCCACAGTGTCTGTGCATGTGTGTAATATGTGCAGACACATGCACATGTGTGGGACCATGCCCACGTGTACACCTGGGCATACACACACGTGGAGAATGCTTGGGTGAGTGCTGTCTAGTCAGGCATGTCCATGAGGCTCAGGACTCGCCTCATTCCGGTCTTGCCTGCCTGACCCTGGGCTCCGGCGAGGTCCCAGCCCACCCAGGGGGTGAGCCAGGCCTGCGGGGTCCCGGTGCTGCCTCTGAGGGTTTCATGCCCCCGGCTTCGGTCTGGACTGCAGGCTGCTGGGTAACGTGTGCAGAGACGATGGAACCCATGGGGCGGGGGCGGGGGGCTCTAGCCACTGAGTCAGGTCGGTCAGGCTGACTTATTACTCATTCATTTTTCTAAAAAATATATTTTACTGATTTTCACAGAGAGGAGGAGAGAGGGAGAGAGTTAGAAACATCGATGAGAGAGAATCATCGATCAGCTGCCTCTTGCACACCCCCTACTGAGGATGTGCCCGCAACCACGGTACATGCCCTTGACCGGAATCGAACCCGGGACCTTTCAGTCTGCAGGCCGACGCTCTATCCACTGAGCCAAACCGGTTTCGGCCATTTATTTTTCTTTTAAAAAATGTTTTTATTGATTTCAGAGAGGAAGAGAGAAACATCAGTGATGAGAATCATGGATCAGCTGCCTCCTGCACGCCCCCTGCTGGGGATGTGCCTACAACTACAACCCGGGCATGTGCCCTTGTCTAGAATCGAACCCGGGACCCTTCCGTCCTCAGGCCCACGCTCTCATTTTTCTTTTCTCTCTGTTACTAATGTTAGGGCATAGGAGGGTTACTGCTTGGGCATTGCTTTTGTGAATTTTTCTACATCCAGACCATCTGAGTGTCTTCTTTGAGCACTTTTTGAGGTGGAAGTCACACAAGAAAATTAACAATTTTAAAGGGGCGTTCAGTAATTCACCAGCTGCGTGGCCACCACCCCGTCTGGCTCCACATTTCAGCCCGTCGCCTGGGACCCCCTTGCCCATCCCCCCATCTTCTTTGTGTGTCGTTGTCGTTGTGTGTGTGTGTGTGTGTGTGTGTGTGTGTCCCCGCAGCCCCAGTCCCTGTCCCCATGCATTTGCCGTTGGGGACACTTCACAGACAGGCCCTCCATGGGCACGCTCTGCCGGCATTGCCTCTAGTGGCCACTGGGTGGCAGCAAAGATCGTGCTGATGACAGAGGCTCATCCTGCTGCGTGGGCCGGGCTGGTGGGGGTGCAGGGCCTGTGGGGGTGTGGGGAGTGGCCCCAGCTTTGGTGGTGAGGGATCCCCCTGTCACTCCACCCCCGGTGCCCTCTGGTGGCTCCTTCCTCTTCCAGCCAGGGCGGGGTCGGTGCTCCCCGGAGGAGTGCTGGGCATGGGGGGACGCAGGCAGGGGGTGCACCCCCAGCCGGGAGGCCCAGACACTGGGCGCCTGTCAGGAGCCGGGGGCGGGGGGCAGGGGCCTTGTCAGGAGCCGGGGGCGGGGGGCAGGGGCCTTGTCAGGAGCCGGGGGCGGGGGGCAGGGGCCTTGTCAGGAGCCGGGGGCGGGGGGCAGGGGCCTTGTCAGGGCCCGGGCGGGCGCAGGGCAGGGCCGTGCAGCTGTGCCTGGGGCTGGGGAGGGGCCCTCCAAGTTGGTGGCTCCAGGGCTGAGCCCCTTCCCTCAGGCTGGGGCTGGGGCACCCTGAGTCGCCCACCCTGCAGAGGGGCTGCCCCGGGGCCCCCAGGCCGGCCGCTGTGGCTGAGGGTCTGTACAGGTTGGTGCTCCTCACCCTGTGGGTGTGGCCCAGGGGTGGGGGTGGCCCCAGGGGTGCAGGCTTGGCAGGGTCTGGCCAGCAGGTCAGACTGAGGATAAACAGGGGAGATGGTTTCTCCTCCCTCTGCTGGGCCAGGTGACAGGTGGGGGCCTGTGTCCCTGTGTGTGACCTCCAGGGACCTGGGTGGCTGGGGGGGGCATGTGGGGGCATGAGGCTTCCCTGGGGGCACTGAGCAAGGAGGCCAGGCCCCTCGGGTCTTATGGGGCCAGAGCAACGCTGAGTGGGGACCCTTGGGAGCGTGGGGTCTCACAGCCCCCACCCCCACCCTCACCCCTACCCACCCAGCA